GCGCAGCGGCCTTGTTCGTCAAGGTTCGTGTTTTTGGAGTTATAGAGTTGAGAGAGGGTTATAGCCGCAAAAATAAGTAGCCTCCTTGTCTGTAGTGGCCTTCTCGGCCTTGAGGAGGTGAAGTAAAATAAAATAATATATATATATATATATATATATATATATATATATATATATATATATATATATATATATATATATATATATATATATATATATATATACATTTTATATATATATATATAAAATATATATAAATATATATATATATATATATATATATATATATACATATATATATATTTTATATATATATATATATATATATATATAATATATATATATATATATATATATACATATATATATATATATATATATATTATTTTACTTCACCTCCTCAAGGCCGAGAAGGCCACTACAGACAAGGAGGCTACTTATTTTGTGGCTATAACCCTCTCTCAACTCTATAACTCCAAAACACGAGCCTTGACGAACAAGGCCGCTGCGCAGAGAAGAACGAGTTAAGCGCAGTACTACCAGGGACATGGTGGGGATCGAACTCGGAACCACTTGTTTATGAAGCGAATATATATATATATATATATATATATATATATATATATATATATATATATATATATTAAAACAGCTTTCATTTGAATGAATATATTTATAAATGTGTGAGTTTTTATCCCTATTAGAGTCATTCATGTTTTGAAATGGCGAGTAGTTTAGACAATATGCATATACAGTCTGCATATTCAAATTTATAGGCTACTAATGATTTAAAGTCTATGAACATTGCACATTTATAAACAAATTTTTCAAATGAAAGCTGTTTTGATAGTTTTAATTATGCTAGTTTTTCAAATTTGGATTCAGTCTTTAACATATATAAATACATGTATATACATGTATATATATTTATATATATATATATATGTTTATATATATATATATATATATATATATATATATATATATATATATATTTATATATATATGAATAAATATATCTATATATATACATATATATATATATATATATATATATATATATATATATATATATATATATATATATATATATATATATATATATATATATATATATATTTATATATATATATATATATATATATATATATATATATATTTATATAAATATATATACATATGTATACATATATATATATAAACATATATACATATATATATCTATATAATAATTCTGAACTTAGTAGTAGTGTTAGTAGTAGTAGTGCGCTTTCAAGCCTGTTTGACACAGTACGCTGGGCAGCCATTGCAACCTAGGTAGTGGCAAGAAAGATTTGCAGCACTTTGTTTTATAAGAAAACGTGAACGAACGCGTATTCAAATATCTAATGTACGTAAACTTTGCATTAAGTAATTTTAAAACATATGTTAAAACATAATTGAACATTTATCAACGCAATTTTCACTTGAAAATTGCATTGCGTCAAGCTCTCCTTAATTTTGATCTATAACATTTTTTTCCTTAAAAAAATCATTACATTATTTAAAAATTTTCACTTGAGTATGTGCCAGTGTAGCCGAGTGGATAAGGTGCCAAGCTTCTGAACAAGTAAGCTGAGGTTGGATTCCTACCAATGGCGGCTTTTTTTTTATTTTATTTCAATTATTTTAAAATACAAAATACTTTTGAAATTTTATAGAGATTTTATATAAACATATGTAACAATATTATACACTTTTACAAAATAAAAGATTTATTAAAGAAAGCTAAAACTTCATAATAAAACATAAAAAAAAAACATCACTGGTACAAAAAATTTGTTGCATAAAAAAACCGGTACAAAAAAATGTTTATTGATATGCTCAGGTAATAAGCACTAATAAGCTGCGGATAATCTAACAAAAAAGTTGTCTGCAATTTAATGAAGAAAAAACTTAATAAGAAAGTTCTGCTGCTCAAGAAGGTGCTGCTGTTGAGGCAGAAAAAAAGCCCAAAGCTAAATAAAACTTTAAAACTTTCTTTTTACAATTAAAAATTTATTTTGCTACATTTAATTTTTTACTATAAATATATGCTGCAACTGTTTTTCAAAACGCCTTAATATGCTTATTATGTATTTCAAAAAAATGCAAAAAAAAAAATTAGGAAAAACTCTTTGTAAAACGTATTTTGAAACAAATAATTTTTATGAATTTTTTCAGAACTTTTTGAAAATATCTATTCAGTAACGTTTGTAGGGATCTAATCTAGCTTACTTTGTAAAAAATTCAAAACTGATTTTTTTTTCTTAAAGCGTTTTGAAAAACAGCTGCAGAATGGATTATACAAGCAATATGTTGAAATAAGATAATTTGACGCAAAAAGCTCTTAACAAATGCCATTAAACCAAAAAAATTAAAAGTAATAGCAGTTCAGTGCATTTAAAAATTTTAAGTATACTATATTGGTGTTTGCAAACAAACAAACAAACATCGTTTTTTAATATAAAACTAATTTTTTTTTAGTTTTTTTTTTTTTTTTTTTTTTTTTTTATTATACTTCACCTCCTCAAGGCCGAGAAGGCCACTACAGACAAGGAGGCTACTTATTTTGTGGCTATAACCCTCTCTCAACTCTATAACTCCGAAACACAAACCTTGACGAACAAGGCCGCTGTGCAGAGAAACGAGTTGAGCGCGGTACTACCAGGGATGTGGTGGGGATCGAACTCGGAACCACTCGTTAATGAAGCGAGCGCTCTACCACTACACCACTACCGCATTTGATTTAGTTACACATTTATATACACAGTTTTATTGTATAAGTAGGTTTGGCACTTAACCATCCCTATATAAACGATATATATAAACAAATATGTTATTTGTTTATCTTTATTATTTATAAAATGTAAAAAATCCACTTATATTACGTTTTATTCATAATCGTATGTAATATAAGTAAACTTTTCTTATAATTACGAGTCTTTTTTGGTCAAGCTGTTTTGTTTTGATTTTTTGTATGTATATTATTTATATTTTAAAAAATTGACAAGATTGAAAAAATACAAAACATATTGTCTAATCCAAGTGGAAAATTCGAAACTTCAATTTTAGATTTGATAATTTTTTATTGCTAAAATTACGCTATCTGCTGCAAAGACTGTTAAAAATAATAGACGAGGCTTTTTTGTAAGTTGTAAAGCCACAATTTATTTACGTATGTGACGTGACTTTGTGGCAAAAAACTAGAAAAACAAACAAAAAAAAATTTGATTTACATTTAAAAAAAAAAAATCGTTCTATTAAAGATAGATGGAGTATATTTTTATGGGATATATTCTAATAAAGACAAAAACTATTTATTTATTACTATTGTAATAAATACAATCTCTTATCCTTTAAATAATATATCTGTACATGTTTTATATATTTTTATGCAATTGTATGCAACAATTAAATGTAAGATGCAAAAGAAAAACTTGACATATAAAGTTTTATTTTGCCATAAACCAACGTCAATGCGCAAAATATTTTTGGCTTAACTTTTTGATTAGCATTTAATAGCTAAGGCTTTATTATTCTTTAGCTTTTAATAATAATAATCATAGAATGCACTTTTTTTTATGACTATATTTTAGTGGTCTAAGATCTTCTTAGTTCTATTTGTATAGCGTTACGTACAAACGTTTGTAAGTGTAAACGTCTTCAGCATATGTTGAGTTTGCATGCATTATATAGAGATAATCGGGTATAATATATCTATAAAATGAGAAAACTTTAAATTTTATTTTAAAATTTTAGAAATCTTTTTTGCTACATTATTATCTTTTTGTTACAAGTATAGAAATATTATTAAAAAAATTTCAAAGTTTATTATGCTAAGGGAAAGTCATAAACCCCCTAAAACAAACCTGATGACAGTACTTAACTACTGAGCTATCAAATGAAATGCATTTAGTAGAAAAATAAACCTATTTATAAGTCTTTTATAAGCTCTACATATGTGGGAAAGGTGTACATGTTAAGTTTTTTACTCTTGAATGTTTTTTTAAGAATAAATTTTTTTACTACAAATGTTGAATTAAATAAGGAATAGGTATATAAATAATCAGTGCAGAATAGAATAGAATCAGTGCAGGATAGAAATGGTAGGATTGATTCAAACCCATATTTTGCGGATTCAGAAAGCTAGGATGTATATGGAAAAAGTATAGAAGACCCGTATTTTTACAGGTTCGATCTCAACTAGTATACATACATATATATATATATATATATATATATATATATATATATATATATATATATATATATATATATATATATATATATATATATATATATATATATATATATATTATATATATATATATATATATATATATATATATATATATATATATATATATATATTATATATATATATATATATATATATACTTATATTAAAAAAATCACTTTATAATACCATAGCATGGTTTTAAAGTTATAAGGGTTGCAGAAACGTGTTTTGACGCTTATTTACAGTCCTGTTGTGAAGAGTTAAATGTTGTATTGTATATCCATATTTGAGAACTTTGATAATGTGATAGTGCATTTTTTAACTTTTTTTTTTTATATCATTGATTGCATTGTTTAATTTTTTGTTTTTAAGCATTAGATTTTTTTTTACGACCGTTACAACAGAAAAAAAACATAAAAATGCTTGTAAAACTTCAAGTAAAAATTATGAAACCCAGCATATAATAACATCAATAAGCGCTAAATACACAAACCAAATGATTTTTTTTTTCCATGCTGTTCATTGCATTAAGTCTGAAAAAGTTGTTTTGTTCAGAAGTGGTAAAAAGTAAGCATTACAACTGTCATGCTAAGTAGAGTTAAGTTTTGAAAAAGATATATATTTACAGTGCTTGAAGTGAAGGGAGATGCCATCACCTTTTTATAAAGTATAAACCCAACACCTTTTTATAAATCTCTATATATAACATTATATATTTGCTATTATTAAACAGTATTACCAAATACAGTCAAAAAGATGTTAGATTTGGTCCCAGCATTTCTTTGGCTTCCAGTATTTACTATTATTTGATATAGATAAGATTCACCAATTTGGTTATCAAGAAGTGGACAAACACCAACCTAATAGATTGGAATAACTATTGAAGTTAGACTTAATAATATGTAAAAATATTTTACAATAATTTTAAAGTATTTTAAAATACTTCTAATAACTATTTATATCCATATAAAAAAAAAAAACAATTTTAAATATAAAATTTAGTACAACTTTTCAATTTTAAATTGAAAAAAAAAAACTTTTAAAGAAATAAAAATATTGATTTAGGATTTATTTTATGCTCTGTAACTTGATGATTATTTTTGTAAATTGGGAATTTGTTTTATTCCATGTTGTTTTACTTATTTGTTTTATGAACATACAAAACAATACCGTGAAATTTTTTAAATACTGTAATGCCAATGTCAAGCCATTGACGTGATTGTATTTAAAAGATAAAAAATATTTAATTTAAAGTCTTACAACCTCAAACATTTTACTTTAATAATTTTGAAACTAAAAATTTAACAACTAATTTTTTGTTCTTTTGTATCCAATGTCATGAAAAAAAATCTCAAAACCTTGGAAATATCTTTATTATCCATTTTGCGAGCAAATATTAATCCAAGTATCCAAAGCAAAATAATAACTCCAACAGTAACAAGAAGAACATAACCATGTTTTAACATTGCTAATGAAGGTGTTGGTATGGGATTAGGAGCCACAAAAAAACCACCAAAAGCTGTTAAATGGTTGCATTTACATTTTGTTACCAAAAATGTAGACGTTTCAACATCAAACTAAAAATTTAATAAAATCATATGCTCTCTCATTAAAATTAAAAGATAAAAGTTGCATTACTATTAAACTACAATTGTAATGTTATAAAAAGGTGTTTTAAAAAATGCAAAAAATAACAGTAAATAAAAAACATTAGTTAAATTTTAAAAAATGTAAACTTTATTTTTGTTAAAAAAAAAGTGTGCAATAGTGTAGAAAATTTGAAAAATTTTTCAAAAATTTTTCAAATTTTATCTAGATAAAAGTTGCATTACTATTAAACTACAATTGTAATGTTACAACATTTTTGAGCATTTTTGCTCAAAGTCATCAACTCATTGGCAGAAGAGAAAACTGACTTGATTTAATCAACTTAAAAATTTTGAAAAAAAGAACAATAATTTGAATAATAATGGAACTCTACTAATAGACTCATATAAAAAAGAGAAACTAATTCCAAAGCTGGAACAAATATACTTGCTTTAGTTCATAAAGATTTTGATAACAGTAAAAAAATTAAAAACTATATATTAATTACCAGTATAGAACCACTGAAAAACACTCAAGAAGAAATAAAACAGAACAGCAAGAACAGAGTTAAGGGTTTTGAACTTAAAATGCAAAATCACAAACTGCTAACCATGTATTATTTAACAGCTTACTAGTTCAAAAATGCTAATTCCCAAACTTTGCTAAACAGTTCCCTAGATCTTGCCATTACTGAAACCAACTGGCTCATCAAAAGATTTCCTATGGGCTATTTTACTATAAATCATTACCACTCGTATATCTTTAACATTTTATTAAAGTTACGCAAAACGCTTTTACGTTCTACTATAGGTTTTATCCCCTAAACGTTTTATTTTCCACTATATATATATATATATATATATATATATATATATATATATATATATATATATATATATATATATATATATATATATATATATATATATATATATATATATATATATATATATATATATATATATATATATATATATGTATATATATATATATATATATTTATAGATGTATATATATATATATATATATATATATATATATATATATATATATATATTTATATATGTATATATATATATATATGTATATATATATATATATATATATATATATATATATATATATATATATATATATATATATATATATATATATATATATATATATATATATATATATACATATATATCAACAACTTGTTTCACATTCGGCATGTTCATCAAAAAACTTTCTGATAAACCTACTGATGTTATAAAAAGTTGTTGAAGAAAAAAAATTAGATAAGTGTTTTTACTAATTTATTATTGCTCTGTTCTGTAACTCTATTTGTAGAATACACTAACATTATTTAAAACTGATCTCAAACTGATCTAAAAATATATCTTTTAGCTAATGATTTACTTTTATTTCATGCATCTAAAAAAATAATAGTTTGAAATAAAAATTTAAAATACCTGGCATCCATCAGACATCCATTTGTTTGAGTCTTCGTTCCAATAATTACATTCAGCACAAAATGATTTCATTTCATAGTCAAATGTTCCAAAAGATTCAGCTGCATCAAAAGTATATGTATTTAAGTCTAGCTTTTCATCTGGTATTGGCCCCTCATATGAAAATGATAAATGCAATTCACTTTTATTTAAGAAAGAATACGTTGAGTTCGAAAAGTTCCACAATATTAGTGTGCCGTCATCAAGAAGACGAGCATTTTGATTTCTAAGTAAAACACTAGAAATATTTTTTCTATGCTCGTGAGTAGTATTATTAACTATAGCATTGAAAACACTTATGTTATTTTTTGTCATAACAACACCATAATTAGTAGAAATATTCAACATAATATCAAAATCAAGTTTTGTTGTAACTTTTCCATATTGAATGTAAACAATAAGATTTGTTAAATTATTTAGATCATTTTTAAATACAAAATTTAGGAGCAAGTTACAATCTGATAAAAATGGTAGCTTAACTTGATATATATCATTAGGCATTGATAAAGATATATTTTTGCCACTCATTTTTTCAGGAATATTTTGTATAGCAATGTTGATTGGTTGTAAGCTGTTGCTCACTTTTATTGGACGACCATTAGAATCAGAAAAAGAAAGACTTTGAGTTTCAGAGAGAATGTTTTGTGAGCGATTACTATCCCATGTGTAGGCATTATCTTTCATTCTGACATTCTAAAAATTTAAAATCAAAGTTTGAGCTGTGAAAAACTATACAACAATTGTAATCTAATGTTAATAAATAAATTACAAAAGAAATCATAACTGGCCAAATTAAAATTAAACTTCAATTTTTTTTTTCACCCAGACACACCATTTAAGTAAAGATACAATATTAAATGACAACATTATAAACACTAGATCAGAGATAAAAAATGGTATAACCTTACTAATGTTGACTATATTTTATATAGTCTTTTTATAATATTATAAATAATAAATCTTTAGAGTTTTGTAATTTATATTAAAATTTATAATTATAATATAAATTATAGCTATTAAAATTTAACAAAATAAAAGATGACTTGACAATTAAAAGTATATTTGCAAAGGTATCATAAGAAACGGAACAAAATCTAAATATTTCAAAAAAGTAGTTTACAGTATAATTTATCCTGTTAGTTTAAAAACACCACAAACTTGCTCTGCCTAAAAACTCTGTGAAGATTCTTTAGTTTTGAAAAATAATTAATCTCATTTCATATAAGTTATTAAAACTTAACTCTAATTATATATTTATAAACAAAAAAACAAAAAAACAAAAAACAAATTGATTATAAACATTGTTGATTATTCTATTTGTTGTAAGACATTTTAAACTTCAACTTGTTGGATTTAAACCGAAATTCAGAAAAACTAATATTGATAAAAATCTAAACAATATTGTAATGTTTAAACTCATACTAGAAACAGAATAGAACATAAATATACAATGTTAAATCAGGCGTTAAATGATCCAGGTTTGCTGTCTTGCGGAAAGAAGGCTTTCTAAAAAAAACTTTAGGTGTAAGCAAAAAATTTCTGTTAACCAGCCTACTCATCACTTCATCTAATAAGCAGATAAAGATGTAAACCTGTGAGTTAAAGTGTTTCCTGCTTGAGATGATGATGGTCTAGATTTTCTTTGAACTAGAATCAAGAAAATCCTAGGTCATTTGCATGTGACTTCGTGGTAGTGGGTATGCAAGTGATTTTTAAGTCAAGCTTTGCTTTAACCCAACAATCGCATTTTTATTGCTTTAAGAAATAGATGGAATCTTTTACTAAGATTCCCTCTCTCTCCATACTAATAGCTAACTATTAGCCTATAAATTAATTTATTTATTATTTCTTCAGTATTACATAAATTTACAATAAAACGGTATATTTAACAAGAAAACTGAAAGGGGATAATACCTAATGAAAGGTTTCTTTCTTATTTCCTAGTTTTTACAGCCGATATAATATCTTGAAAATATAAAATAAAATTTTACAATTGGCATTCAGCAAAACTGATATTGAGACATTTTGAAGCCATATTAAGAGTACAAAGCTTTTTTGTTTGTATTTTGAATTTTTTTGCGCCTAAAAGCAAATACATATCTTTCAATCAATTAGCTTCAATTGCAGTTTTGTTAGTGGCTTGATTCGCCAACACAGAACTCTTAAAGTTAGGAAGAGTTATTCTTCTGTTAACTCTTAAATATTTATTAATGTTAACCCAGCTAAAATAAAGGTAATGGTGCAAAGCCAACACATATCTTCCATGCTTGCATCAACCGATAACATATTTAATTTTTTAGGATTGGTCTTGTGTGTACCTTTTTGGGACCAATAATTCGTAAAGCTTTCTTTTGCAGACATTTGAGTTGCATAAATTTTTTTTATTTACTATTTCTCCAAATTTCAACACCATACATTAAACGGTTTCTGATTAAAACATTGTGTAAAATAACTTTAGATTTACAATGTAATAGTTTGTTAAACTTTCTATGTAGTTGTTAGAAAAAAAAGTTGTTAAACTTTTTATGTAGGTACTTATCTTTTTTGATGTTTGCACTATATGGTGATGCCATTTCATTTTGTCATCCCAAAGAAAACCTAGAATGCTGATGCTTTTTTATTGATAATTTTCTCCAAATTAGGTAACCTTGAGCCCTTGTAACTTTACTTCTATATTTTTTGCACTACCAAATAGCTGTTATGTTTTTTTTTTCATTATAAAGTTATAGTCCATTTAAAACCAATTAATTTATTTTCTAATTTCCTGCAACATACTTTATGTAACTGTTCAATAGAGTCAACCTTTGCAGTAATTGTTGTATTGTCAGCAAAAAAAACTGTCTAATTCTGTTGCACCAGGTAGGTTATAAATATAAATTTTGAAAAGCAATGGATAAATGTTCCTTGACCAACACCCAACTTTACTACTCTTTTTTTTGATGTAGAACTTCCAATAACAACTTACTACCTTCTGTTTGTTAAATATAAAGAGATTCATTTTAAAGTTTTTTCACCAGCACCAATTTTTTGAGCTTGTTGTAAATAATGCTATGGGTACAGCTATCAAAAGCTTTTTTTACATCACTTAATTGAACTCAACAATTTTATTTTTATTTCTATAGTCCATTATCATATTGAGAATTTTTAAATTAATATGTATTGGATTGCAACCCTTTTTAAAACTGAATTAATCTCAATAATTCCATTATCATCAATTTTTTTCTCAATTTGACTTTAACAGCTTTTTCAAATATTTTTGATAATGCTGGCAATATCATCTTGTAATTCTCCATAATGGTTTTATTTCCTTTTTTATAAACAAGTTTTATCATAGCTAATTTCATTTCTTGTGGGAAACATTCAGCAACAATAGATTCATTAATAATTTTTGTTAAAAAATGAGTGCAACTTGATAAGTAATGTTTAATTAACTTATTACTTGTCAAATCAATCTTACTATTATTATCAATATTTTAATTAACAAGTTTTTAAAATCAAATAATTTACTTTAAAATAATTTGATTTTAATCATCTTGTTTGACTGTTGATTTATGTTACAACAAAAATATTTTAACGTTACAACAAAAATATTTTGTCCTGTAGTATATGGAAAAAGCTTCTAAAAAGTCTGGCTGATATTCTCCATAAGCTCATATTATAAAATGAGGATATATTTATAGAGATATTTATAGAGGATATTTATAGAGGATATTTATAGAGAAAATACCTTAAAAAGTTTTAAAAACATTGATTTTTATAATAAAAACATTTTTTTCCAACAGAGTTCTTACATTATCATACACTAATGACTTCAGTTTAAAACCAATCAATTCATTTTAAAACTAGCATCTGCTAAATTTGTTTTTCTTAACCATGTCACCATTTTCATTCTTCAAATCCATTCTTTACAAATATTGTAACTATCTTTGCGAAGAAAACTGTTATCACATTTGTGCTGATTTTTGTATTTATGTTTTTTTTTTATATTAATAGTTGGCAAGCTTTAACCTCTCTACTTTTTATCTCTTTCTCTTTTCAAAAATATGACAGTGGGTACATCTCAATTAAGTTATTATCTCTTTTTTTTTGTTGTTGTTGCTTTTTGTTAACTTCCAACCTCAATCAGTTCCATCTTGTTTTTTGGTTTTATCCCTCTTACTCTTCTTTTGACAATCTCTCACAGGTTTAATGGGGTTTATGTCAGGTGAATTACCTGGTCATTGCAGAAGCTTAATGCGGTTGTCAGCTAAGTATTTCTTGACTGTCTTTGCAGTGTGACAAGGTGCTCAATCTTGCATAAAAAGAAACGGTCTCCGTCGACACTATTTGCCAAGTTGATGCAGCAGTCATGTCTCAAGCACGTTCTTGTATTGAACTTGATTCATGGTGTCTTCAAAAATATACAGTCGTCCAGGCCATTAAACAGAGATAACTGACCAGACCATGACATATGTTGGGTTCTTTATTGTCTCTGCAACACAGTCAGGATGAAATTTTTCACCGGGTCTCCTACATACATAGGCTGCTTTCTCATCCATGATGTAAAAGGACTATTCATCACTGAAACACACCTGACTCCAATCATTTTCAGTGAAATTCTTGTGTTGCTTTCCCCATGCTAAATATTTCTTGATCATTGCCGGAGTCAGCATTGCTTTTCTGCATGGCCGTCAAGCTTGAAAACCATTCACAACTAATTGTCTTCTGACTGTTCTGGTACTCATATGTACATTATTTTTTTGTAATTCTTTCTGCAACATCTTGCTTGTTGCTTTACAGTTTTTTATTCAGCATTTCATGAGGTACCTGTTGTCTTGCAAAGGCATCAATTTTTTTCTGCCACAATTGCCAACACGGTTGCCTTGTAATTTTTCACTAGTCTACATCTTCTTCTTCATTCTCGATACCTATTTCTGACTTATTCCAACATTTTTAGCAATCTCCTTTTTTTTTTTTTTTTTTTTTTTTTTTAATATTAATTCACCTCCTCAAGGCCGAGAAGGCCACTACAGACGAGGAGGCTACTAATTTGTGGTTATAACCCTCTCTCAACTCTATAACTCCGAAACACAAACCTTGACGAGCAAGGCCGCTGCGCGGAGAAACGAGTTGAGCGCTTTGTGATGTCTCTCATAACACGAGTTGAGCTTTTGTGATGTCTCTCATAAATAAACCTCAACTCTAGCCAATTTTGTCGGTGACAAGTCAGCAGCTTTTCCCATCTATTTAAAAAAGGACATAAAATGCTTTATTAATTAAACATGTTTCTTCGTTTTTAATGTAGAAAATAAAAATAAATAAAAGATTGACTTTAATGTAATGTCAAGCAACTCTTATTAATGTATATTTTACTTTAATTTCTGCTCATAAACATCAAACAAATAAGAAAATACTGACCTCTAACAGATAGTGGATGACCGAATTTTAATATTCAATTTACAGTAAAAATTTTCAAAAAAATGGATCTTGAGCAAAAATAAAAATAAATTACACTTATTATCACTTAAGCAACATTTGGCTAAACATGCAGTAACTATATATACATTAATTTAATAACTAATATGTGCCAAGATAGATACATTCAAAAATAATCTCGGTTTTGTAGTCTAATCTAATAATTTGGCCACCACTGTACATATGTTTACATATATACATATACTCATATGAATATATATATATATATATATATATATATATATATATATATATATATATATATATATATATATATATATATATATATGTATATATATATACATATATATATGTATATATATACATATATATATATATATATATATATATATATATATATATATATATATATATTTATTTATATAAATAAATATAAATATATATATATATATATATATGTATATAATTTATATATATATATATATATATATAATATATTAATAACAATATATAATATGTATACATGTATATATATATATATATATATATATATATATATATATATATATATATATATATATATATATATATATATATTAGGGTGCATCCAATGCCCTCATGTCAAAGAATTGTCTTGTCTCCAGTCCCAAAACGTTCCATTGGACCTTAAATAAACTTCTGCCAATTTTTTTACAAATCTGAATTGATTTAGGGGGTCCACCACAAATCTGAAATTTTGTCATTGTACGAAAAATTCGACATACATATTTGGGCTTGGGAGCAAGATAACTGAAGATGAAACAAAATTAACCGAGTGTTGGCTTCCAACTTCTCGTCAAGTGTTGCGCTGTCTAATGTACCACCTTGATGACGGAGCTAGTACAAATCGAACTAGAAGGGAGTCAGCAAAACTTGTCTTGGCAAAGCTGAAGCTATTTTATGATAATGCTAATATTCCAATAATTAGCAAACGTAAAGCATATGAAAAAATCATTAAACTTCTTGATGACAATGCCAAGATCCGAGCAATGCCTTTGAAACGTAGATCCATGCCCGGTTCTTTAAAGAAGGTACAGGAGACAGAATGTATGCTAGCAAAGACATTTTCTCTGTGGCTGGCAAATGTGGAATTGTTTGTAAAAAATTCAGGAGACATGAAGTTCCTGCAGTCGATGAAGACTGATCATTTGGCCACCTTCGGTCGATGCGATAAAGTGTTGGCAGATAAGCTTCAGCATCGGCACAAACAAGCACAAAGTGTTGCAAAAAGACGTTAAAAAAATTCAAGTCATCTCACAGCAGAAGCATACATTGTCAGTGACATTGAGAGCAGTGAAGAAACTGATGAAGATGATAGTATTGAAGATCATGGTAAATTAAGCAAGGACAGTGATTCCTCTGCTGTTGGTGTTTAACTTAAAAACCTACAAGTAGAAGCCATCATCGTAATACCGGCACTGAAACTCCTGCCTTCATACCACACTAGCAACCCGCTTGTGTTGCACTAGCAACCCCCCTAAATTTGACACCAGTGCAGCAGGCAATTTACACTGAGGCTTTCAACTCTGCACTGGAATTCCAAACAAATGCCATCATTGTCCAACAGAAACATTTCTGAGGAGCATCTTTCTGTTCTAGTAGGAACTGCTAATGAAATGAAGCAGTTCTAGCATATGAACCTGGAACAGATAGAAAATCTGGTGATTTCATTGTAGATTTAACAGTCGACCTGTTAAAGTCATGGAACTGCACCGACTATATCATTTGCATGGCATTTGACACAACTGCATTAAACACAGGGCATGCCACTGCAGCTTGTGTGACCATTCAGCAACGCTTGGTTCGATGTCTTCTTTGGAATGCTTGTCGACATCATGTTGGAGAGACAATTTTAACTAATGTATTTTCCGACCTCCAAATTAAAGTTTCAAAATCGCCAGACATCACTCTGTTTACAAGACTGTAAACACTTTGAGCTACTTCAATCACGCCCAGCTGATTGACAGTCAAGGTTTGAATCCACCTCCTTTTCTGAAAAAGCTAAAACGTTCACTGACTATTGTAGAGAAAATGTTATAAAACTTGCTCATTCAGAACTAGATTATCGTAGAGATGACTATCTGGAATTTGTCGAGTTGTGCATTAGTTTTCTTGATTGTGAAAAAGAAGGACACACACTGACCTTTAAGCGCCCTGGAGCACTACACAAAGCTCGATGGATGGCGAAGCTCATATATTTAATTAAAATCTGTCTATATGAAGAATAAATTCGTGATTTTTCAATCGGCACAATAACTACAAAAGCACAAACTGCCAGAGTGAGAGATTTTGTCAACTTCTCTACCCTGATATATAGTGTCTAGTGGATGAATTGCAGTTCAGCTACAGATGCACCATGGAATGATCTCATGCTACTTTGATCATTGTTGATGTATGCATATGTACACCCTAAGATATCAGAGAGTGGGTTGAGAGCATTTAAACGACATCTATGACATCTATTTAAACGACATCTATTTAAACGACATGGTATTTAACCAAAGAAATAGTGCCTCTTGCACTTTGGAGCAATAAAGTTCCACCTACTGAGCAGAGAGCTCTTGCTGACCATTTTCTGGCAATCAAACCAGATATTGTTATGTTTCAACCAAAGCACCGTTTTGGTACAAGATTTGGGAAACCAGATTTTCCTGAATCAATTACATTATCAACAACGCTTGTTAATCTGGTGGGAATTGATTCGTGGTTCTTGTTTCACATCCTGCATCTTGACTCTGAGTTTCTGACTGAGGACGTTGTGAACTGGCCTAGTTGTACTTCATGATTAACATTCTAGCATTGAATGTGGTGAATGACAGTGCGGAGAGAGGGGTGAAGCTCAGCTCAGACTTCATATCAACAGCCAAGTGTGAAGAACATTATCAAAATGTCTTGGAGGTTGTTGAGAAAGACCGGAAAATGCGGCCAGACATTAGAAACCGCAAGAAATGAATCGAATTACTGACTGACACTGTTTTCATTGGCATTTAACCGCCTTTTGTTCAAACTCAAGTTTATACAAATATTCTTAATTTGTTGGCCTCACTGTTTGCTGCGTAACTGCTTATCATAATAAGTGTTTTAGCTCAATAAATGAGCTTTGTTTAATTAAATTTGTTTAATTAAAAAGCTTAATTAACGTAGTTTTAGAACATGTTAATTAATTTTAAATATAGCTAATTTTTCGATTATATCCAAAACTTTGTTTGCTTGGTGGACCACCTAGATAACATTCAAATTTTCTGAAACTGCATCAAAAATGTTGTTTTGGTAGAGGAACAGAATTAAATTGGGGACAAACACTTTTGACAAAATTTTCAAAATGTTGGGGCACTGGATGCACTCTTATATGAATATATATATATATATATGTATATATATATATATATATATATATATATATATATATATATATATATATATATATATATATATATATATATATATATATATATATATATATATATATATACATACATATATATATGTATATATATATATATATATATATATATATATATATATATATACATATATATATATATATATATATATATATATGTATATATACATACATATATATATATATATATATATATATATATATATATATATATATATATATATATACATACATATATATATGTATATATATATATATATATATATATATATATATATATATATATATATATATATATACATATATATATATATATATATATATATATGTATATATACATACATATATATATATATATATATATATATATATATATATATATATATATATATATATATATATATATATATATATATATATATATATATATATATATATATATATATATATATATATATATATATATATATATATATATATATATATATATATATATATATATATATATATATATATATATATATATATATTATACATGTATTATAGTATATATTAATAACAGTTGAACAGTTAAAAAAGACAGGCATTGTGAGTCACTCAAGTTCTTCTGGAATTAAGTGACTCCCTTAGACTTAAGAGGTAAATGTCTTTATATACTTTTAAAAAAACAAGCACGTACTTGAATTAAGATTTCTGCATTTGCTATAGAATCATTAAACATATCTTTTGAGTCTGGTAGAATAAAACCACCTTCAGATGAACCAATTGAAGTATTGCTTAAGCTGCTTACATAATCTTTTTTTAATATAAAACTAAACTGCTTTGTTTCTTGCGTTGTTGCACTTTCACCTGGAACTTTGTAAGATAACAATGTCATGAAATATATGTCCAAACATTTAAACAACCTAGATCCAACATTTTCATTTTCCTACATAACAATTAAAAATTATAATTTAAACTCAAGTTTTTTCTTAATAATTAAAAGTTTTTATATATCAATCTATTTATCTATCTATCTAACTATCAAACTATCTATCTATCTATCTATTTATCTATCTATCTATCTATCTATCTATATCTATCTATCTATATATATATATATATATATATATATATATATATATATATATATATATATATATATATATATATATATATATATATATATATATATATATATATATATATATATATATATATATATATATATATATATATATACATATATATCTGTAAAATCAATGTATTTTGTCATATATTTATCATGATTATATTTAAGTTTTTAAAATAATTTCGTCATTATTCCAAACACTAGAAAATTGTTTAAAATTAATTTTTTGTAATTTGTTAATATTTTCTGATACTTAGAGAATAAAAAATTTTATCATTTCAAAATTTTTATAAATACATTTTATCTGGTTTAGAAAGTACTACAAACAGTCGATATTTAAAAAAAAACTCAGTTTTCTTTAAAATATTGTATGAAATTACTTTAAAGTTTTTTAAATTCAAGAACCTAGTTCACAGCTTCTAAATTTTAAGATCTGATTAGAATGACCACCATCTTTGAACTCAGCAGTAGAAATATAACTTTATAACAATATAACTTGTTATTAAGACTTAGCAATGTATGAAAATTATTATAATAATTTTGTGTTTATTTCAAATCATATATGTAGATCTTAGAATCACATAGACTCAGTGTGTGTATTTATACAACTATAAATGCTAATTCAATCAGCACTATGTCACATTGAAATAGCCTGCTCTGGGCTTCATTACATAAATTAAATATTTTATAGCCTGCTGCAGAAAAGAAACACTGCTAAATTGACTGAAAGTTTGGGATAGGGTAGCAATTTTTTCTTTCATTGCTCTTTGTTTTTTTCTTCTTTTTCTGAAAATTAATCTATCATCTTTAATCTAATAAATTATTTTTTATTAATCAATATGGATTTTGATCTTTTTATTCTACTGCTGATTTGTTAACAGTAATAACTGATAGGTTTTATTGCACATTAGATAAATAAAAAAGGTGGGGTTAAGACTACTACATTTCTAAAGTTTTTGATAAAGTTTGGCATGGTAGTCTTCTTAATAAACTCTCTTTTTCTAGTGTATCAGGTAACACCTTTAAGACTATTGAACCATTCCTCACTAATTGTAGTATAAAATTTGTTCTTGATGTACATCACTCTTCTTCATTTCCTGTAACTTCAGAGGTTCCTCAAGGTTCTTTTATTAGCCCTATACTTCTTTTAATTTATTGAGTTGTAACATAAGTTTGTAGAGTTTTGCGTTAGAGTTATTTTACAATCTTTAAAGATTTATTTGAACAAAAAACAATAATTATAAGAATAAATTAATCATTGATATATTCTTCGTTACTGTTTACGACCTCCTTCCATCTCTCGAGCAATTTGTTGATGCCGTTTCGCCAAAAATTGGTTGTCTGGTGTCAAAGAAGTTTTTGAGTCAGTTTTTAAGATCTCTTCGCCATCAAAGGTAACAGCCCTCATTTGGTTTAATAGAGAGCGGAAAAAGTGATAGTCGGTAGGTGCAAGATCCGGAGAGTACGGTGGATGCTGAAGAACCTCCCATTCAAGCTCTTGGAGTGCTGTTTTGACGACTTGGGCAATATGGGGTCTGGCATTGTCATGGAGCAAGATAAACTGACCTTGTCTATCGGGTTTTTTCAGCTGAATAGCCTAATTTACATGGTTCAGCTGGGCAATGTAGACCTCCTTGTTGAATGTGGCGTTTCGTTCGAGCATTTCCCAGTGCACCATGCCTTCCCAGTCCCGCCAAATGCAGATCATGGCCTTTTTTGGGAGAAGATCTTGCTTGACTCTTGGCTTCGGCGTCTCTCCTGGGGCCACCCACTCCTTTCTTTGCTTCACATTAATGTAGAGACACCATTTCTCATCTCCGTGATGATTCGATACAAAAAGCGCTGTTTGTGTCAATGTGTTGCTCGGTTGCGGGCAAGATGTTGAGCAGCAATTTGAAGGCGTTTTTCTTTGTTTTCTTCGTTGAGCTCGTGAGGTAACCATGCTCCGAGTTTTTGAGTAAAACCAATTAATTAAAGGTGGCGAGAGATTGTCATTGCACTGATCATTTTTTCAGCCAATTCACGAGTTGTTTGGCGACCATCTTTCTTCAATAGTGCCTTCAGATGCTCTTTGTCAAATTCTGCAGGTCGTCCACTTCGAGGCGTGTCTTCAAGGTCAAAGTCCCCATTTTTAAACTTTGCAAACCATTTTTGTGCAGTAGACACACTTAAGACACCTTCCCCGTACACACTGCATATGTCCCGAGCGGCTTCAGCTGCTTTTTGACCTTGATGAAAAGCAAAGAAAAGCAAATGTTAAAAATGCTGATTTTTTCCTCCTGGGTATTCCATTTCTGAGCCAGAAAAAAGACAAACAATTAAATTATCCAAAAAAACAAATAAAACTGTTTTGTAGACGAGAAAGAGCTCTTTCTAATGAATGTATACATTTTGCTCAAAAACAATACAAATCGTTGTAAAATAACTCTAACACAAAACTCTACGAACTTATGTTACAACCCAATACTTTAAAGATCTCTCAGAAATTCTCACATCCAAGGTAGCATTGTTTGCTGATGGTACTAACATTTATTCTTGTTTTGATAAAAACACTTTCTGATTGCTTGAAGGGGGCATTAGATTCTATTCTTTATCTCTAAAAATCTCTAATCATTCCTTGTATGGAATATTGTTGCCATATATGAAACAGATCTTCCAATGATGTCTTTTTTAGTCATAGTGCAAAAAAGCATTGTAAACTCAATTAGACCTGCTCTTGTAGCCAACCTTTAACCATTGTCACATTGTTTAATGTTGTTTCTCTTTCTCTTTTCTATAAATACTATAATGAGCGCTGCTCTAAAAGAGTTAGCATCTCTTGTGCTATCTACTAAAATTCATGTCTGTGTTACTTGCCATTCAGGTAAGTCTCATCCTTTCACATAACTGTTCTCAAGTACTACAAAAGTTCTGTTTTGTCTTTCTTCAACATTATTCCTTTGGAATTTGCTCCCTTTATCTTGTTTTTCTAATTTATATAATGTGCAATTTTTTAAGTTATTGTTGATTGTAATGTTGGTTTATAAACTTCATCTTTTCTCACTTAGTAACTTTAAATTCTAATAATAAATGCTTGAAGCAATTAATGGAAGTGCTGTTTAAATATATATAAACATGGCACATTCACTTTAAATTAAAAAGCAGTTTTCTATTTTGTACAAACAATGAAGTCATTACTGCTAGAATAGAATGGTAATGTTTACATAATAACAGATAGAATGGGAATGTTTACTATTTTTAAAATGTTTCGTCCAAATGAGAATAGATAATTTAAATTAAAAAATTGAAACTTGATTGAATTTTGAAAAATCAAAGTTTTAATCCACATTTTTTTTGTAAAAACTTTTTTTATTTTTCACACGTCTTTTGTAAATAAAAGAAACATTCTTCATCTTTTTTTTTTCTTATTTATTTTTTACTATTATTTATTTTAAATTAAATTAAAAACGTTTTTTTTGTTTAAAATATTTGCATTTAATTTAATATAACTTCAAAATAGAAACAAAGTAAATAAAATACTATACTATAAAACGCAACAGCCTTCGATTGCATGCCATTCCTGCCCAAGCCTGCAGGGTAAAAAAATGTGTTTCCTATTTATGTAGTCATCTTTTAGTAAAATAATATTATTTTTATATAATATCAACCCTCAGAATTAGGAAATAATTTTAATTAGGCAATAATTTGCCGACCTCAATATTTTTGAGGTCGGCACCAGGTTGGCAAAAATTGTTTGATACAAAGGTCTGACCATAAAACATAGAAATGAAGTCTGCAATTTTTTTGCCCAACCCAAACACTTTCAGGTTGGCAGTTAAGTCTGCATTGTCAAATGCTGACCCTAATTCCGAGGGTTGTAATATCAAAGCTGCAGTAACATATTTTTTTTGGTAGACAAATGCATTAACTAAAAAACCAAAGTAAAAAACTAAAAAAATTTTCTGATTTCCCAGACTTCTCATGAAATAAATTCAAACAAAAAATTGTCTATCCTTTTCCTTGTATGCACCAGAACGCTTTTGAGTGACCCACTCACCATACTTGCCATATAACTATACATATACATATGTAAAGGCAATGTGGCTCTAAGGTCTATATGTATAGTTTGAAATAAACACAAAATTATTATAAATAAAAATTTTCATATAACTGCTAAGTCTTAGCAGCAAAAAGTTATTATTTGAACCATTTATTTTGTGCTTTTAAATGTATACATACAGCAGGCCTTGGCATAAAGCGGGAACAATTCGTCATATGAAACACGCTAGTTAATAGAATATTTATAAATTGTGGGCGCGATAAAATAATCTTGCTAATTTAGTTACGAGAGTAAAAAATCACGCTCGTTTTAAAAATTTAAGAAGGAGAAAACTAATAATGGTTTACTAGATTTTATATTAAATTTTTTTTTATAAAAAGTTTTTGTCAAAGATTCTTGGTTAATTAAACAAAAAAGTTCGCTTATTGTTAAATACAAAATAATCTCTATTCAAATATCTTTAATTGCATTTTTTTAGAGGTAAAATGTTAAAGTTGAACTTCAATTAAAAAACTCATTTTTTCATGTTAACTTACGCCATTCTGTTGAAATTAGAGCGCAAATTTCTACAAACAATGAACGATGATCTGTGAATGAGACTCCTTTATATAAAACGTTTACAGCAAGCATTTAACAAAAATTAAATAAAAGTTTATTTATTTATATAAGTTTATTAATAATATTAAATTGTGTAATAAATATAAATTATTTATGAGAATCGTTGTTAATTTAATTTTGTAAAAGTATTTGCTAAAAACCATATGTATAATAATAAAAAAATTTTATTTAATTAAAAAAAAAAAATTTCTAAAAGCATTGTGTTTTGAACGGGCAATAGTTTACTTATTGTTAAAAACAAAGTAAACACTATTCACATACTTTTAATTTTGTTTTGACAGTCGAAGTAAAACAATCAAAAAAACACATTTTCTAAATGTTAACCTACGTCATTCGATAAATTAGAGCGTAAGAAATGTTTTTGGACAAATTTTAACTCAATTTAAAAAGCTGCTGTTATTAAAATTATAACTTATATTATTTATAACTTAATTAGAATTAAAAATTTATTTGAGAAAAAGAAAAGCATAAGTTTGTGAAAATGTTTGCTAAAAAAGTTTGTGAAAATGTTTGCTATATATTCCTAAAATGTGCTTGTTATTACTGATTTGCTTTTTTTCTTAAACAAAATTGCTATTATCAGCAACCATGTTGTTTCCTGTCTGATGATGACAACACAGATTTCTGTCAGATGATGACAATCCTAAACCTAACTCATGAGCAGCCATGGCACAGTGGTTAAAGTTTTTGCTCAGAACCAAGAGGCTCGTGATTTGATGCCAGCTCTAGTCCAATAAGCAATATTAATTAGGAAGGAGGCATTAACTTCCTGATTAAATAAACTTTAGATCAAGCTCCTTGATAAAAAATGCTCCTTCATGGTGCTTTGAGATATAACAATAGTAACGTTTAAAAAAAAAAAGGTTTGATAATTAAATAGGTCATTTTTTGTGTTTAATTTTGGAATCTAATCAATAAGAAGGAAGCTGCAATATAATTATAATACTAATATGTATTTGATGTTACTTGATGTTGTAAATAATTATATACTAAAACTATAAATTCAAAAGCAATACAATACAACAGCATAACATTTATCAATAAATAGTAAGTAAACAAAACAAAACAAAAAAACTATAGTAAAGCAGTGATTAAATAAAAAAAATTACCTCTGCATTTGATGATGATGTTGATGTTGTTGTTTGCGTTGTGGAAAGTATTTCATCTATAAATGTTAAACAATAATTTTCTTTAAATTTTTTTCTATGAATCAAACAAACAAGACAATAAAAATAAAACTTCTTGTCCAAAATTGTTTTATAATAGTTGAGGTTTAAACCAGAAGGATCTAAAACTATTTTCTGGAATGTTGCGCTTGCATCAAGTTTGATGCAAACTTGACTCATGGCTTGAGTCAAGTTGTTACATATTTTTTCAATAGCTTTTTCTTTTCAAAATATAAAAAAAAATTGCTGATTTAATTTAAATGATTGTAATGTTTTGTATTTAAAATTAAAAATTTTAATCTATATTAATTGAAAAAACCTTAAAAGCACTTGTTTTAGGAAATTTTTAAAATATGGCTTCAAAGCACATTACTTCAAAAAAATTGCATTTTATGGTTCTTAATTACTGTTGTTTCTCATTAAAATGAACTTTATAAGTTAAGCGCAACATCCATCTTGATGTAATTCAACATAATTTATATACAAACTAATCCTCTTAATATTTACAAATATGTTAACCAATCGTTAGATTTAAAACAATCATTAACTATATTTACACATTACACTTTCCCTTATAATTATTCTAATTTCATATTGATATAACTTATTCTAATTATAATTATTCTAATTTCATATTGATATAACTTATTCTAATTATAATTATTCTAATTTCATATTGATATAACTTATTCTAATTATAATTATTCTAATTTCATATTGATATAACTTATTCTAATTATAATCATTCTAATTTCATATTGATATAACTTATTCTAACTATAATTATTCTAATTTCATATTGATATAACTTATTTGCAGGTGCAGTAGAAGATTTACAACTATCTTTTGGACTAACGTTATAGTAATAAATAGCCTCCAGTATGATGCATGGAACTCTGTTCGCCTTTCTTTTGATAGTTTGATGACATCATTCTACAATTCCATTTCCAGAAGGTACATAAGCACAACTGAATCGAAATTTAACTTTCCACTGCAGTATTATTGCTCATCTGTATTTCATCTGGACCTCCTTGTTCAAGAAATATCGCATTTAATTCTTAAATAATACATGCAGTTTGATCTTAAAAATATCGCCATACTGCATAATGTGTAGGTCCACAGTCAATTAGAGTAAGATAGTGATGCCCCTCATAATGAGTTATATCCATGCCAAGTTGCTGCCACATTCTTTTTATTTTTATTTCCCCTTTCAGTCATTTTCTTGGACTTAAACCAATTGATTGACAGGCTATGCATTTCTCAACCACTTGTTTTACTTCTTCATTGCTTACTGACATTTTACGAACAAAGTACAGTGTTTTCTTCACCCCATAATGTCCTGTAAATCTATGAGTGTGCTCAATTTCTTTGGAAGATAATGAAGTTCTAAAAATGCCACTTGCTGCTATTTCAGAGGGTTTATCAACCATTTTTAACCAACTTTAGGCACCCTAGTAAGAACATCGACTAAGTTAAACTCTAAAGCAACAAGCTTAATATCTACTTTGAGTTGGTATTATTTTATTATATTTGCAATATTCTAGAGTTTTCTTTTTATTAGCATTTTTTTTGAAGCTTTTGTTCTCAATAATCTAGATTTTCCCATGAGTGTGTCTGTAACCCAACGGAATACCGCTTTCAAATCAGCGCAGATATGGAAAATTTCATTTTTCTAATTAAGGCATATATTTAGTCCTTTAATTACTGCTTCAAGTTCGGACATGTTGTTATGTGTTGTGTCATCTTTTCTAAACCAACAAGCATCTTAAATTATATTGCCATCAACCTTGACAATCACGCCTAGTGCTATTGAATTAGCATCTACCCAAATTGCTGCCTTGTTACCATAAACAATCCAAATTCCCTAAGCAGGATTGTCATTCTGTGTTCTTTTAACAATATCACTCAGCTTTTTTACCAGGTAATTACATTTTATTTTTTCAATATTTTAAATCTTTTGACTCAAGCTCAATATTTTAAATCTTTTTTAGATTCTAATGGTTTTGAAAATACTAACATGAATATTTATAAAGAAATTAAGTAAAAATATGTTACTTGCATGTAAGTAGCTAAAAGATAAACTATTCAAAGTTTAAATTAATTTTCATGTCATGTGATAAAGCATATCATGGATTTTATGTACACAATTTGCTATTTTGCATTGGGCTGATTTTGGCTGTTTACATTTTGCTAAAAAATTTTATGTTTGGTAATTTGAATTAAATCTACAGATATTTTTAACGCAAGTTGAAGTAATTAAGTTTTAAAAACCGCTCACTATTTACTAATAAAACAATATAGAATAATATACAACTAAAAGAATACAAATTAATAGAATCAATAGAAAATAAAAAAATAAAAAATACTTAATAACAATAAAAAAAATTATTGACTAATAAAATATTGTTTAATATTGAATAATGAAAATATTAAAAAAACTATCATCTTGCTAGATAAATAATTATTTAGATGCACATAAATATTTATTTAGACTTTTAATTTTACATGTTACATTTTTTTCAAGTACAGAAACTATAGCAACAATTGGCAGTTTTGCATAAAAATATGGATCTTGCAAGAAAAAATTATTTAAATTGTTATTCTAATTGTTTTTATTGTTATTAATTATTTAAATTGTTATTCTAATAATACATGAAAATTAAAAATTAGATATAATAAAATTATATTACAAATAAATTAGTACAAATAAATTAGTACAATAAAGATATTAGTATAATAAAGTCAGTATACACAATTTTTAAAATTATTTTTAAATATAATTTTTTTATCTTATTTTTAAAAAAAGGTATACTTGTTTGAGTTTTCCATTACTTCAAACATTCATAACTTTTTACCAATACTTAACAAGAAGTAAAAAGCATGCAGATAAATAATTGTTACTAGAAACCTTTGGAAGAAAGATAATGGAATTTAATTAGTTGAACAAAAAAAAAAAGATAGCATCAAATGCTAAAAAAAGAAACAATATACTTTGTATTTTAAAAACTGGAAGTAAAATAAACATCCTAAAGTATTTGTTTATAATACATTTTTTAATTTCTACATTTTTTTAAGTTAATTCTTAATTAAAATAGTTTGAGGTAATTAATTAAAATAGTTTGAGGTAATTAATTAAAATATTTTGAGGTAATTAATTAAAATATTTTGAGGTAATTAATTAAAATAGTTTGAGGTAATTAATTAAAATATTTTGAGGTAATTAATTAAAATATTTTGAGGTAATTAATTAAAATATTTTGAGGTAATTAATTAAAATAGTTTGAATTAATTAATTAAAATATTTTGAGGTAATTAATTAAAATATTTTGAGGTAATTAATTAAAATATTTTGAGGTAATTAATTAAAATAGTTTGAATTAATTAATTAAAATATTTTGAGGTAATTAATTAAAATATTTTGAGGTAATTAATTAAAATATTTTGAGGTAATTAATTAAAATATTTTGAGGTAATTTAGCAAATTGAATAGTTTTAAAGAGTTAATTGTCAATAAATACAAAAAAATAACTAAAACAAATGTAACAACATTACAGATCAAATCAAAACTCATGCATTATGCATTTTTTATTTGAAAAAAACAGGTCTGAATTTAACAATTTAAGTAGTAAATAAAAAAGTTAAGAAAGATATTTTTTGTTTTTAAATAAAAAACAGTTTTAATTTTAACACTTTTTAGTTTTTTTATTTTAGTTCTTAAAGAAGTTTAGTTATTTTAGTTCTTAAAGAAATTTGTTATTAAACTTTTGCTCTGATAAAATAAATAAAAATTAATAAAAATAAAATAAATAGTTTTTCTGGAACTTCAACTAACTTTCAAGATTTCAATTTTTTTTAATGATAAATGAATTCAAAAAACAATCATGAATTTTGAAGTAAATCAAGCTCATTAGATAATTAACTAAATTAAATTGCATAAACGCTTAACTATTGAAACAAATCATCAATTACAACCTTTTAGAAATGACATGTAAGAAACTGTGTTGTTTAAAAAAAAATTAAAAATGGTGGAGGTGTTTTTCAAACATGAAAAAGAAGAAGAATAAAGATAAATGAAGATAACAGAATTCAAAAAAAAAATTATTTTTAAAATAGAAGTAACAGAAATAACAAACAATAAACAAAGTAAACCAAGACAAAAAACTTGAACAAAATAGCTGAACAGAAAACAAACAAAAAAACTACAAAAACAAAATACAAAGTTAAAAGTTCAAAAAAGATGTTCGAAAATGGAAAACAATAAAAAAGTACTAACAAAAATATCAAATAAAGTTTTTTTTTTTAATTAATTAGGTTTTTAAATTATTTTCGTACATAGTTTATATAGTCATGTATTTTCGTGTACAATTTAAAATGCCCTATATTTTTTAAGTTGTTTATTTTATTATGTATTTTTGAGCACTGCTTGCATTGTTTTTTGTTTGTTTGTTTGTTTGTTTTTTCAGACATTTTTGAGTATTATTTTTTATATTGTTTATAGTGTTCATTAGGCATTTTTTTTAGGTATTGTGTTCATTTTATTTTAGTTTTAGTTTTAGGTGTTGTGTTCATTGTCGCATATTTTTCATATTATAGGTACGTGCGTATCTGGCTTTTTACAACACCGATTTCAAAGTTAAAAACTGGAACCTTTTTTTTCACAGCGTGCTTGAAGTCGGTGTGCTAAGGATGTGTTTATTTGTCTTTTTTTTTAGAATTTTTTATCGACTCAGACTTTATTTAAAAAGTCGAATGTTTAATGTTGAATAAATTATGTTTTTTTTATGGTAAATAAATTTTTCAATTATTTTATTGCTCTTTAAAATTTCGTTCCTTTTCTGGAAGTGCATTCATATGGAAGACATGTTGGTACATTTTTGAAATTTTCTAGTCAACTGTACAAATCAATTTTCTATGTGCCTGCAAAATATAATTTAAAAATATTTATGACCACATAATGTAGTTTTTGATCCAGTGGAGGTTCAATTTCCACCCTTTTTACTGTTACTGTTACTGTTACACTTTATTAAACTGTTTTAGCTACTGTTACTGTTACTTCTTGTTATAAATTCTGTTGTTTTTTTACAATTACCAGTGATTTTGATTCAGTTTTAAAATTTTGTTTCTGTTCGGGAGGTGCATTAATATTGAAGGCATGTTGGTACACTTTTTAAATTTTCCAGGCAATTGTATAAATCTATTTTCTATGTGCCTGCCAAGTTTCATTAAAAAATATTCATGACCACTTACCCTATTTCTCTGCGCAGTAGGGGTATGGTTTTCAACTTCCGGGGGAGGGGACGGTGTTTGATGGTGATTATTTAGTATATTTGATTTTTTATACATAATAATAAGATGTTTTATTAGAACTGTTATACAAACTTTTTTTTTTAATAGCCTTTTATTGCTAACTATTTAGTGTGTTTTTTTTTAATATTTGTAAAATCATTTACACGAAACAAGTATAATTAATTAAGGTGATTATATAGTAAAAAAAATTTGTTGATTGCTACTCTTTACACACACCAAAATTAGTTTTAAGGCAAAATATTGCTAAATAAAATTTAAAATATGGAAATAAAAATTATAGGACATTTTTTTTATGGTGATTCAGCATGGAATGCAAAAAAATCATTAAAAACAAAAACAGCATTTTCTCAGCTTTTTTCCATACCCATAATTTACCATATAGCCACCTAAGCTATATATGATATATAAAAATTAGGCATATTTATAAATTTTTTTATAGGTTAATGATGATTTTTAAATTATTTAAATAAATAATAGCCAATCCAATGAAATAGTAGTATTATGATTGTTGAATTTAATTTAGAGCATCATGGGACCTAAAAAGAAAATATGTCTATTTTATGGTAAAGCTAAAACTTATTTAGCTTGTAATTTTTCAATACTAGCTCATTTAAAATTTGGCTGTAGAAATGGACATGTACTGCATATATTGGCAACCAACTAAGATTCGTACAAAGTAACTGTAGAACTAATCGATAAGTATTTTAATATTAAAACTTGTACAATTCAGATTCTGCAACTAGTTAGAACATCAAAAATCTTTGTAAATCATTTTTTGCAAAATTCGAAACCATTTATTGACATCTGCAGCATGCTCTTTGCATACCATAATACAAAATCTGCTGTAGCACAAACATCACAGTCAATGGCAACCTCGATTGACATTCCTACATGTTCTTCATTTTCTTCTCAACAAATCAGTGTTTCATCTGTATCAAATAGTGATCACTCATCTCCTCTATCTGGTCCTGCTTCAAAAACCTCTTCTCATGAACTACTATCCAGGCTGAGAGCTGACCAGTTGAGTCCCAAAAAAATGGTAATGAAAAAGAGATTAACCATTTTGGAAAATGAAATAGCAATTAAAAAGAAAAAGCATAAAGAAGATCTTAAAGGTTTAAGAGATAGGGCAAAGGCTATACCATACAAATTTAAATATCTAAATAAAGTTATTACTTGTAAGAAAAAAGATAATATATCAACTTAGAAAAAAATTAAAAGAAAAGTATTTAAATTTACAGTTGAAAAAACTTCAAAATCAAATTTTTTTTTGGAAATAACAGTTGACATTTTCTGAAACTAAATTTTCTAATCAAAATGCAATTTTACGCCAACAATTTGCTGACAAAAATTCTGCAATTCTTGTACTGCAAAATGACATGCTGATTTTACAGGAAGAGTTGGAGGAAATTCAGCAAGTAACACAAAACACCAGAAATGAAAAATGCTACTCAGCAGATATTAGGACACTTATATATGACATGCTTGTGTGCCAAGTTCCTACACATAGTGTGCCATCTCTGCTCTGGAAAATTGGAGAACATACTAACTATCGATTTAGTCAAATTCCACATCACACAATTGTATAACAAATGATGCGTGAGCTCGGTGTTCTTTCAGACTTACAGACTGCTGAGCTAGCATTTACAACAAAAGATCTAACACTTGGTTTTGATGCAACAACCCAGGAGGGTGTACATATAAATGCTGTTCATTTGACAACCAAATCAGTATGTATGGTTGTAGCTATTGATCAACTTCCTGGAGGTACAGCTTATGACTATCAGAGTCATATTACAAAGTCTGTTGATAATCTTGTTAAGTTATATAGTGACTTCTATCAATTCAAATACACTGACGTAAGAAGCACTATTATTGGAAACATAACAAATATGATGAGTGATAGAGTTGCAACAAACTGTGTAACAATCACAAAATTAAACATTGTTTGGCAGAAATCATTAAATAAACTAAACTGTCACCTTCACTCCTTGGACACAATGACCAGCTCTTGCAAGTCTTCACTTAAAGCATTAGAGACTTCAAAAGAGAAACTTTTTGGAAGAGACTGCATTGCAGCGAACATTGTTGTACAGCTGAACAAACTTCGCTACAAGGATGCAAAAGGTAATTATTTTTAAACCATTATTTTACTTTAATATAGTATAGTTTTGTGAATAAAATCAACTTTGATATAGTGTAATTTAAAAAGTTAAAATAAAATAAATGTTATAATTAGTGCATGTTTTTATTTCACATTCTCCTTGCAATCGCAAAAATGACTTTCTTTATGTTATTTATAGGTGATCCAAAGGGTTTTGTAACCTTTTTGGACCAACATAAGTTGCCCAGAGGATTGCTACCACGCTATAGAGGGAACAGACTGCATATGCTTTTTCTCAGATGTGGTATTTTGATTCATCATTATGCCATATTGAAAATATTTCTGTGTTCTGGCTTGGCATTATGCAGAGGTCAGCAAAATAGTTTGTTTCAAGACTTTACATCTGAAACAGGTATCTTCCTTTTTTATACAGGTTCAGTTCATTTGATAAATCGTTACCCAATATTATAGGTTATAGAATGCATATTTAAAATAAATAGTTATGACACTTGCAAGATTAATGTTGGTTAAAGACTATTATAAACAAGTTTTATTTTTTGTTACTTATTAACTATTTTACCTTAGGTATCCGTGAGTTGTGTGTTTTAGCTTTAATTGGAAAGTTACTTTCTGGTCCTTGGATTACTAAATTTTATATTTCACCAGGTACAGGACTTGACTACATATCTGGCATTCAGGTAGTAAAAGATGTTCGCAACACTCTTATTGAGAGCAGCAAGAATCTCTTTTCTTTACTTAAACGAAAAACTGATTTCTTTGGTAATGATATTAAAGATGTAGTTTTTGATTCAATAATCAGCTTTTGCCCAGTAACTGATCAAATAAGTAAATCAATAGCTGACTGTCTTAATGCTGTTATTGGCGTCATTGACAGGCAGTACAAGCGGCAGTTCGAAATGAGTTCTAATGATCACCTTAAAGACCAGACTAAGTCGGCTAGGCTTCACAACATTGATTCAGAAGAGCTTATGGGTATGTTTAGCGCTGCAAAGCACAAAGCTCCAAATGCCACTCTTTGTTTTTTTTTCTTCGAAACTTCGTGCTTGCAAAAATGAAACAACTACTCTGCTATGCAAAAAGCCTACTAATATTCAAAACAAGTTGATATCATGGGCTATCTCTAATGCCAGAAAAAAAAAGCGGTTTAAAAATATGCAATGTCATAATGACCTGAAGTTAGAACTGATAAAACGGCAGATAAAATTCAGAAAAGGGAGGACAAAGAACAAAGACAGGTAGAAAAAATGTTAAAAAACTGCATGCCTGATCAGGAAAAAAAAATGTTTCCAGACCTATAAAATAATAAGGCCTCAGATATTGAAGAAATTCTTATTGGAGCTGCTATTGGAAGAGGTATTTGCCACATGTGGTTCAATTATGCCACTAACACCCAGGATGTATATTATGGCAGAATTGTAAGCATTATAAAGAAGAACAGTGATGTATATATAGTTTCTTATTGGAAACCAAATGAGAACGGAGATGATGATGGCGTTGAGTATGATATGAGCAAATATCAACTCTTTGCAGACATAATAAGTGGTGAAATGGTGATAACATAACAGAATTGTGTAATAATAAGGTATATATTATTTTGAATAGTATGTCTTATAAACTTGCATTAACAGATATTATTTACAGATAAGAGGGTTTTCTCCATAGAGTTTTCTCCATAGGGTTTTCTCCATTCTACTCCATGGTTTTCTCCTTCTTGTGCGGCTGCTATATCCAATCGTAATCATTTTTTTCATCTTTTTCAAAAGAACAACTCTCTTGAGAACAAACGGCTATTTATTATTGCAAGAAATCGATGTAAAAAGGTGCCTTTTTATTGCATCCTTTTAAGAACTTTTCTTCTAATTCTACTCTTGAATCTTATGGACATTCTCTTCCTTCCATTCCAGTCAAACAGGTTGACCCATTGTTAGACATTCAAATCACTCCGGCTTCTGTTGCTAAAGTCATATCTCAATTAAACTTGTCTACAGCTTGTGGTCCAGACAACATTCCTGTCACAGTCTTGCAGAATTGTTCTCCAGAACTTTCTTCAATTCTCTCTAAACTATTTAACAAGTGTTTGACTGAGTCTTGTTTTCCTGCTTGTTGGAAAATGGCATCTGTGGTTCCAATATTCAAAAACTCTGGAAAAAAATTCTGACCCCTCCAATTATCGTTCGATCAGTCTTCTTTCTGTTATTAGCAAGGTCTTTGAGTCTTTGATCAACAAATTCCTCACATCTCATCTTGAGTCAAATAAACTGCTGTCAGACAATCAATACGGTTTTCGATCCTCTCGCTCTACGGCTGACTTACTAGCTGCTGTAACTGAAAGATTTTATTGTGCATTAGATGAAGGCGGTGAGGCTAGGGCTGACTTACTAACTGCTGTAACTGAAAGATTTTATTGTGCATTAGATAAAGGCGGTGAGGCTAGGGCTATTGCTCTCGACATATCTAAAGCTTTCAACAAAGTTTGGCATGCTGGTCTTCTCCATGAGCTTGCTTCATATGGTGTTTCTGGGAAAGTTTTTGAGACTATCAAATCATTTCTTTCTAACCGGTTTATTAAAGTCATCCTTGAAGGCCAACACTCTTCTTTATTTCCAGTAACTTCTAGGGTTCCCCAAGGTTCCATCCTGGGCCCTGTTTTGTTACTTATCTACATAAACGATCTTCCTGACAACCTTTCATCTAAAGTAGCTCTTTTTACTGATGACTCAACTTTATACTCCTGTCTTGACAAAAAGTCTTCTCTTTTCGATTGCCTAGAACAAGCGGCTGATCTTGAATCCGATCTCACTTCAGTAATAGATTGGGGTTCACAGTGGCTTGTGATCTTCAACTCTAAAAAAACCCAATTGCTTATTGCAAACAACTACCATAATATGGTCAACATTCCTATATTAATGAATGGCAATCCTCTTACTGAGTCCTCCTCTTTACGTCTTCTTGGATTATCGCTTACTACTGACCTACTGACCTTTCATGGAAACCATATATACAATCGATTGCTAAATTAGCTTCTGCTAAGGTTGCTTCTCTTTATCGTGCTCACCATTTCCTTACTTCTGATTCCATTCTCTATCTCTACAAATCTCTTATTCGTCCCTGTATGGAATACTGTTGTCATATTTGGGCTGGTTCTTCTAACGATGCACTTTCTCTTCTCGACAAGGTTTAAAAACGCATTGTAAATGTTGTTGGACCTGGACTATCTGCTAAACTTGAACCTCTTTCCCATCGTCGTAAAGTTGCATCTCTTTCTCTTTTCTACAAATACTATCATGGTCACTGCTCAAAGGAGTTATCATCTCTAGTTGCATCAACTAAAATTCATTCTCGCTTTACTCGTCATTCAGCTAAGTCTCATTTGTTTACTGTATCTGTCCCTACATGCTCTAAAAACCTTTATTCATCTAGTTTTTTTCCCCGCACTTCAATCCTTTGGAACTCTCTCCCATCTTCATGTTTTCCTGACTCATACAACCTTCAACTTTTCAAGTCTTCTGTCAACCGTTTCCTTGCTCTATAACTCTGTTCTTTTTTTTTTCCTAGTAACTCCCAACTTAATAGTGGTTGCTTGCAGCCTTGTTGAAAGTGAATGCAAATAAAAAAAAAAAAAAAATAAATAAATAGGGTAATCTTTTTTTTAGAATAAATTTTGCAATGCCTATTGTATATCATATTCTCCACCCACCCATTTTTTTTAAGATTATGAAAAGATAATTAAAATTATTTAATTTGTTTTTAAATATATGTATTTAGAAATTTAATTTTAGGTAGTCTGGTAGTTGCAAACATCCAACAACCAAGGTTGACCTGGTTGCAACGTGCTATGGGAAACCAAAGCTCATTTGCTCTTTGACTTAAGCAAATTGCCTGGCTCATAACAATCACTGTTAATCATAATGATGGCTATGCATGCTTTCTACCCAGAAAGACAGACTTTTGCTTGCATGGATTGAGGTACGTTCGTGTTTAGTTACAATAAATCAGAACATTCAAGATATATGCCATTACTTAACCATCTGGTAATGGTATTTGCCATTACCAGATAGTTAAGTAATGGCATATGTCTAGTTTTGCTAAACAAGAATAATTTTTTTTTCATTATAGTTTTTAATCAAATCTATTATATTTCAGTTTGACTTCAAGGGTCGACTCTTATCGATTTTTCTGTTTGGTAATCGGAAATGTGTTGTGTAACAGGAGTTAAGTGATTTTGAATTTATGTATTAGTTAGTTGTTAGCCTTAACTTTTTTTTAATTTTATATATCTGGTATACTTTATCTTATCCATCATTGCAAGGTTACACAACATGATGAAAACAACACAGTTGCTTTGATGGCTGTTGATCTTTTTCGTGTCAAGATAAAACCGGTTAGATCATATTTATTTAGAGATTGATTATGTTTATTAATACAGTAATAACAGTTGAATATTTATTTATTATCACAGATTATGTTTTTCCGGATATTTTTTTTAAACTTGTTTTTTCAGGATATCCAAATGGTTTTTCATATATACAAGTTTAAGTAAATATTTTTGTAATATATTCGATTTGTAGGCTTTTTTAGTCACTCATACAAAAATTTAGAAAAGTTTCCCAAAAATTGAGAAACTACTTGAGTGAACGCAAAATTAGGCAGAAAATAAGAGGTAAAATATTCCGGATATTTTACGCAAACAATTTTCCGGATTTTTTAAATATGACCTGGATGATCTATGTATTATCCGGGAAATAAGGCATTTTTATTAAATAAGTATGGCGATATTGATTTAGAGGTTTACTTTATTTTAGAAATCATTGGATTTGGTTTCCTTCACGTACTAACGAATCAACTCTTTCTATCTATGGATGTCACAGTTTTGTTTGCTTCAAAAACTAGGCTTTTTTCAAAGCCACAATTCTGTTAAATACATTACTAAGCAAAAAAGAAAATAATTATTTTAGTTTAAATTATTTGTTTTAGTATATTTAAAAATAATATATTTTTATTTATTGCGGTTTGTTGGAATATATGTTTATAGTTAGATAGATATATATGGGCTACAGAAAGGAAAAGGAAGGGGAGCTGTGATGGACTTCCCCCCCCCTCCTCCTCCTTTATTGTTTGGCTGGATATTTTTTTTAGCAGGTTTTTAGTTGAACTATATAACACTATATGTTATTTTATGAATATTTTTTTAAGCTTCGACCCCTACGAAAATGTCACACCTATGCCGATGTTGTATATCTATATCTTTCATTGAAATTTATTAGTAACAATAAAAATAAGACTAAATAGTGAAAACGCCAATGTTTGTTGCACTTTTCTTAAGCAATCCTTCATAAAAAATAATGTTACTTAAATGGGCATAACTTTTTTCATGATTATTCTTTTTTCATAAAATTTTCACCATTTTATTACAAACTCAAAGCTCTTTCTAACCATATATAATACTTAAATAAATAAATGGTTTGAAGTTTTTACGCACATACCTACATATTATCATACTTTTTTGTGCAATGCTTGTATTGTCCTGTATTTTATTTTATTTTTTTTAATTTTTTTTTTTTAACCTTTTAGTTAGTTTAATGTTGGTGGGATATTTTAACAGTTGTATATATTTTTAAAATTGTATATCTATTTGTGTATTATACATTTCAATGTGAGCATATGTATTTTTCTGTATGCAAATGTATATGTTTGAGTGTTTACATGTGTATGTACATATATCTATATATCCGTATATGTATGTTTGTGTATGCATGCAACAATGTAAAATTTTTTAATTTTTTGTTTAAAGCTTTTTCTTTTTTTTTAATTTTTTTTTTTTTTTTTTCAGTTTCGATTTTTTGATAGTATTTTATGATATTTTGAAGTATTACTTCATTTAATGTTAAATATTTCTTTTCTTATTTATAATATATTTTGTTGTTATTAGTTCTTTTTTATAATTTTATTTTTCCTAATTTCTTGTTTTCTATTTAAATAATTGTTTTATGTTATTGTTAGTTGTTATGTTTTATTAGTTTTTTAACTGTTTGTAACTGTTTAACATTGTATATATAGCTATTGTGTTTATAAAATTAAGTAACTTATTATTTTTATCATTACTAATTTTATTATTTTTATTATCATTAATACTATAAGAATTGTTTTTTTGTTGTAATTCTTATCTTTATCATTATAAATATTATTTTTATTATTAAAACCATTATTATTTTAATCATTTTCATTAGATGTTTATTTAATGTTAGTAATATTACTATTTCAAATGAAACCGCAAAAATGTAACCGCCAACTATTTCAGAAATATGTTGATTGATTGCTTGGTTTACTAATATTCTTATAAAATTTGGTTTTATTGACTGTATAACAGAAAATAATATTAGTATATTTACCAGATGTATTGAAATAAATATCAATTATATTGACATGTGTACTGAATATATAGGCTAAATTTAAAACTAAATTTTTGATGAAAAATTAAAAGTTTTTGCTTACACCTAAGCCTGTCTGTTCATAAAAATATTTTGACAAGTATACAAATTATTGAAAATTTTTTTACCTGATGAAGTGTCTGGTGTATTTGCCTCAAACAATTTTGATATAGAATTTACAAATGGTTGAGTTAAAGTTTCAAATTTTTTTGGCCCCACAACTCTAAGATTCTCTTTGGTAAGAAGATCGCCTAGTTTTTTCACAATATCAGCTGCTTGGTTCTATTAATTAGAAATTCAAACAAAAAGTTAGTAAAATTTAATTTAATATGTTTAGAGACCAGTGGAAGGAGGGAATGTGGTTAAACACCAATGAGTTTGAGGAATGTATATGGTTAGAGACTAGAGTGACAAATGAATATGTTTAGTTTTTATAACAATAAAAACAGAAACAAATTAGTGTAGTAATTTTTTTAATGTAAGATTGAAACACTGACTTGCAAAACAATGCTGTCAAAACTGCATTGTTTTGCAAGTCAGAACTGCATTATTTTTGCATCATCATCCAGATTTAATCATTAAGGGTGTGTTTGTGATTTTGGTTTTGATGTCTCTCACACTTTCTGTCGCAATCATTCACTTCTAAGAGCATTTTTAGCATTTCATTCAATATTATTGAGACAATTTTAAATTTTTTAGATTATGGCAATTTTATTTAGATTTTAAACAACATTTGAATTTAAATGAAATACAATTCTTATTTACAACATGTGTATCTTTTTTGTAGAAAGCGCACACTATATATTTGTTGATATATCTGTTGGTGAAGTATGTATGTTGTGAGAATAATAGAAAAAATATGAAATTAATCACAAACAATTTATACCTAAGTAGGGCTTCTAACAGCTGTTAACAGAAACAGTAAAACAAGTGTTTCTTAGCCAAAATCTGAACTGTTTTCCTGTTTTAATTTTTATCTTAATATTTTTTTCTAACAAGAAGTTAAAAAAAAAAATTTTTTAATATAAAAGAACAGCTTGTTTTTTGAACAACTTCTGATTTTTTAATACTGAACAAAGTATGAATCTATGAATGAAACTTAAAAAAATTTGTTTTGTGAAGCGAGTGTAACAATTGTTACAAAACCATTCCCTATGGAAAAAAATTCTCATTTAGAATAATCATTAAAGATTTCAACACAAGCAGTTCCCTTTAGAGAACTTTATATGAACTTTAAACTTATATAAATAAATTTAAATGAATCTCTTTATATGAAAAACTCTATAATTATTGCAATTATAATATGCAACTCTAAAATGATTGCAATTATGATATGCAACTCTATAATGATTGCAATAATTTGAATAAACTTAAATAAATCCCTTTATATTAAAAACTCTATTAGATTAAAAAACTACTCCCTTAATAGATTCATTATTTTAAGGGAATAAAAGTCGTAGCACTAAATTCGACTTGGAACAAGGATACAAAAAACTAGGCAACATAATATAATTACTATACAAAAAACTAGTTCTAAATTAATATAATTACTTGTAATAGTTTAATTTAATATAGAAATAAATGTTAAATAAAATATAATACTGATTCTCTTTCCTATAAATAAGAATACAAAACATAACAGTGAGGTTGAGTTGTTAATATTATTGGCTTAACTAATTGAACTTGTGATTAATTATTTCAATATTTGGCTAGAAAGTAGATATTATTCTTACTATGAAGGATATTTATTATATATGTATATATAATATACACCTTAATCAATACAGATGTCATCTGTTTGGGAGTTTGCAATCAAACTACAAAACCCTGTGACTTGCTCACAGTATTTTATCGTTTATAAAAGGATATAGAAGGAGTTTGTCAGAATATAGGAGTTTGCAAACACTGCAATTATGTCATTAAGTGCTCTGGAGGATCTACCACAACCTTAAAGACTCACTTAAAATTGAAGAATGGAATTGATTGATCTTAAAATGAAAAAAATTCCTCCTGAACAAGTTGCAGCAGAAAGAAACCTAAAACAATGCTTGATTTTGTTCAACGTAAGAGTTTAAATAAAATAGCTTCTGACATGGTCACAGATGGAATATCCATTAGAGCTATCACTAGTAATCTGCATTGTAGTGAAGAAAGTAAAACATACAAATTGGGATTAGTTCGCATCTTTGGCTTGTGCAATGCTGAAGCAATGTTTGAAAAAATATCAAATCACTTGAAAAGTTTTTCAATTGAATTTAGTAGGATCAATACAAGACAGTGTAGTAATTAACAAGAAATATATGAAAATTATCAAGTTTATTGACCAGTCTTGCATTCATCATGGCATTCACTTGTGAGTAACTGACACTTTGTATAAGAAAAATGACAGAATTAGTTCAAGTGAGTTAAATTCAGACTCTGATGATGATGATCAGGTTGATAATTTTTAAAATAATGACAATGAGGTTGTGTAAGTAGATTATTCAGAAGTCGATTTTCATTCGGTTTTGAAAAATGCATAAGATATTGTCAATTATATCAGAAATTCGACCGTTAGAAATATTTTAGTCAAAAGTAACTCTAGAACTTTGAGTTGATATCGAATTTCACCTTGTCGTTCACTATTGTTTAATTCACTTAATGACTTAAACACGCAAAACTTTGCCTGTTTAAGTCATTAAATGAATTAAATATGCTTGATCTGATCAAGGTAAGGTAGATTTTAATGGTTTGTCAATGTTGCAAACTGCCATCGAGCTAATCAAGATTACTGTTCAGACACTAAGTTGTGAAAGTTCAATCCTTTTGACAGCTGATACTGTTATTGGCTTTATGCTGGAAAAACTTTCGAATTTAAATAACACAATTGGGCAGGAGTTATATAAAAATCACAAGAAGCGAATGAGTGAAAGATGGAATTATGATGTGATGAACTTATTAAGATCACTGAGAGATCCTACAAATATTCCATCAAGAGAAACTTTGCTCTTTGTTAGAAAATTGGCAAAAAGAGTTTTGTGGTTTTTGAGGAGGTTTTCATTCTGGTAATTCTGAAGGTCATCAGACTAGTCCAGCTTCAATATCTCTTCAAGAAGAGTTGGATTTATTGCTGAGAAAGGAAAAAGTTACTCACATTTCAATAGTCAACAATGAGTTCAAATAGCTAAAACAGGAATTTTTGCTATTTCGGAACACAGCGAATGGAACAGAAAACTTGTATGAGGCTCTCCTTACAATTAAACCAATGTTTTAAGACGTTAAATTATATGAGGCTCTCCTTACAATTAAACCAATGTTTTAAGACAATAAACGAGTTTTTTTAATTTCAAACAAACAAAGATTTGATCACGCCTTTTGGACGAATCTATTAATTCACTTGTATTCCTTAAATTTTACTATAACAAAAATAATGCTAGAAATTGGACTATTTTGTTGTAAATTCCATGAAAAACAGAAAAACAGCTATTTTACATTTAAAAGAAAACAGCTGTTATCAGCTGTTTTTTTTTAAATGTAATATAGAAAACAGTTATTTTCTGAAACTACCTGTTTTTGAGAAACCCTAATTTCTATAGATTTAAGTTTTTTTTAAATAAATTTATAAGAACATTATAAGCATTTTTTTTTTTTTTACATTAAAACTGAAATAATTATTTTGTTTTATAATATAACTGACTCAATGGGAAATTCATAGAGTTAGTTACGACGGTCACATCATAGGAACAGTTGTATTATGGGTATGAAATGTTTAAGTTTTTAATAGGATAATTATGTATTTATGTTAATTCTTTGTTAAACTGTATGTAACTATGATTATGTACAAAACATTCCTGACCGCAAACAAAAGTTGTATCAAATTGTAAAAATGTATTAATACTACTAGCATAATTATATTTATATGTTACTCATTCCTCATTGCATAGTTATATTTATATGCTACTTATATGCTGTACATTGCATAATTATATTTTTTTTGTTAACCATTTTACCTTGTATAATTATACTTATTTGGTAAATATTTAACCTTGCATAATTATATTGACATGCTAGTTGTTTTAAATTATATTCATATGGTAATAGTTCTAATTTGTATCAAATTTGAATATAAAAAATGGCTTCCTCAACTGTAGTACTAACTAGTACTACATTTGAGGAAGCCATTTTTTATAACACAATTGTTATAACACAATTCTGGAACCTAGTAAAGATAAATTAATTAAAAAAAGTAAAAATTAAAAAAATAAAAAAAATAAAATACCTGAGATTGAGGAACCAATTCTTTCGGTTTATGTGATAACAAAGTCAAAGTATCACTTATGGACTTAAAAAAATATAAATTGTTGATAGGTGTTTTGCTGAGCAAATCAATCATTTTTGTGCGTAACTATTAAATAAACAAACAAATTTAAAAAAAATTGTAATTAAAAAAAAAGGAATTAAAAAAAAAGTATATATAAAAACTTTGTTTAAAAAATATATGGAAAAATAAAAAAAGATAATTATTAGCTAATTTAAATTACTATAAAATGTTTTATTTTAGCAAGCGCTTTGATGCTCGCACAATGACACACACCTAAATACTTTTTTTCATTTGTTTTTGAGTGCGAAGTTTGCATAAAAAAAAGAACAACATTTTTTATTGTTTTACTTTTATTCATCAAATAATTTGATAAAAAATCGCCATAACTCAAAACTTGTGAATTGTTATCAAGTTATAAAAACTTAAAACTCATACATTGTTATCAAGTTATAATAAGTTAAATTCAAGGAATCTTAATTGATAATTTTGATTGCAAAGTTTTTAAGAAAGAAAAAACTAAATATACTAATTTTATTTTGATTTTGATTAATCATTATTCAAAACTCTTTTGTTTATTATATTACAGGATTTTAAGTTGGATCAACAATGGCATAGTAAGAAATGGATAAAGAAAACCCTATTTTCCAAAAGTGACAATGATAAAAAATATAAAGAGAAATTTTTTTTAAAATTGTGCATATTAGCATAATGAGCCCCTAGCAAGAGCTTTTTTGTATGTTCATAAAAATATCTATACAAACACTAAATATTTCACAACAGTAAACATTATAACAAACCACTTAAAAAATCTTAAACACAGTGCTTACACATAAAAGTTTGCATAATCAAAATATTTTTATTTTAAATCTAAATTTAAATGCAGCAGCCGTAAACAAATTGATTCAACACTTTCATAAAAGGCAAATAATTGCATCATTGCATAATTTAATTTAAAATTAAGTCAAGAATTAATGCTTAATAAAAAAATAATAATAATAAATTAGTAAACAAATCTTTAATTCAATAGTGAATTATTAAGAAATGAAAATTTTTATCAACATTTGATTTTTTCAATATCATTTTTTACTCTATTTTACTCCAATAGGTCAAGAGATAGATTGATATTAGTCAATAACTTGAGTGTTTTACTATAAGAGAGATAGTATGGATTGAAGTCAGGATTATATTTATAATTATTTGAAATTTTATTTATTAATTTATAGTAAATTAGAATAACCATTATAAAATAACCACATAAAAACAATTTATATCATTTTTTAGAATTCTAAACAATTTTTAAAAAAATTGATGATTTCATATTTAATTGTATAAATATGTTTTACATTTTTAAACATTTTATAAATATATTTTACATTTTTACATTTAAAAGTAACAAGTGACCAAAGTGACAAGTGACAAAAGTGACAATTTTATCAAATGGTCATTTTTAACAATTATTCTTCAGTTCCCTTATGCTTACATTGAAAATATTTTTTTTAAAGTTCATAAACTAATCTAGGCATTCTTTTAAGCTTACTTAATAAATTTGCTTACATGTGAATGAGATTCTTGACCTCCATTGCCAGTATCTTCCAATTCATTTAAAGGTGATCCATTATTTTTGTAGTAACTTGGTTCTATTTTGTTAATAGTAGAACTAACTGCTTGAACAATATTAGTAATAACTTGCACATCATTGAAACTAACTCCCATTACCAGTTCTTGTAAGTTAATAGGCTTATTGCTAGGATGTACCTGTATGTGAGTTAAGAAATTTTATTACAAAAATATAAACTTGTTTAATTTATTTAATAACATTTACTGGTTACCTTATTTTAATTCAAAAAATTTTAAAAAATTTTATACCTTAATCCAAAGTTTATATTTTGTGTACGCATTGTATTTACCACATACTTCAATGATTATGCTAATATTGTAATCATTATTTTCATAACCTGGACCCATTATAAAATTAATTAGGCTAGGTTGTTCAGTAGATGCAATATTTATACGAGGATAATCAACCTTTGATGAACTGCTATATCTTAATCGCTGTGATGGATTGTCATCATAAGAAAACTTGTAGCTCAAAAAGCCATCAGAATCTCTCCAATCTTTACACAAAAGTTTAAAAATTGTCTCAAGAGCAAAACCTTCAGTTGGACTGTTAAAATCAAATTATAAATATATTAAATGCCTTGGCATCTAATGGAAAAAGAAATAAATGAAAAAAATAACTAATAATAACAATTTACTCATAGTTATGATAAAAACATTAAAACTAAATACTCGTTTTATTTATGGCAACATATCTAATTTGTATTTTATATTTACATAAATATTAAAAAATAGAAAAAAAATAAAATTTGTGTATACTGAGTAACACAGGGATCATAGGCATAAAATTTTACTTGCAGATTTTGCTAAAATTATTTGGTGAGAGTTGAAAATCTTCAATAATATAAAGGAAGCCTTTTCAATAAGCGCAAAAACATAACTTATTTTTTTAAGTAAAATATATTTATATAATGAGAAGCACGCATAAATCAATTTTGTGATGGCAATTTAAAAGAGCGAGATTAAGAGTTTAATTGCTCATTGTAGAATGTAAATAGGCCTTAAGTCTACAATGAAAAGAAAAAGAACACTCATAATTTTTCAAGTTTCATTTTTAAAAAGCCTTAATCAGTTCTACATCCAACCACTGAAAGATGATTAATTTTTTGACATTTGCTAAATATTCAGTGGTCTGTGTTGTTTGAATCAGGTCTTAAATCCTGTTATAACACAATTCAGAGATCCATAGTAAAGCTGGTGGTAGTGATGCTCTGAAGTCATAGTAAAGTATGGAACTCCACTTCACTTCCAGTGAATTGTAATGTAATCTTAAATACTCATGGCATCTCCAGTTTGTCTAATGCTACATTCCGCTGCTACAACAGCCTTATCACATAAGATCTAGATTATAAGATAAACTTATATCACTCTGGGTTTCTTTAAATATCACTATCATCACATTGATGGTATTTTTTGCTTTTCAAAAAATGAGCTGCATGTCTGAAATGTTTTTCAATTAAAGTTTATCATTTTAATTTGCTTGAAATAGTAAATTAAAAAAAAAAACACTATTAAAAAAAATTTACCTAGGAGTGCTGTATTAGCATCCTCACTTATCATGAAGACCCTGATCAAAATTTCCAATTTAAAAAATATGTTGAACTTAGGGGGCATTCCTAAAGTATGTACCCAGTAAAGCCACTGATTTAGGACACCCTCCTCCCTCCCCTCCTTCCCCCTTGTATGCAACCATATGATTTTAATGACACATCTATCTTCGGCATGTGTTACCATTATTTATTACAAAATCACCCCCGATCCCCTATTTCCAAACAAACAAAAAATTTTTAAACATTCAAAACAAAAAAACATTTAGTTACATTGATATTACTCTTTTGCACCATAATTTTTTAAACTCATTAAGTCCAATACTTTTGTTAAAAAGTATTGAACTTTATGAGTTTATTACAACAACAAAAAAATTTTATTATAAACTTATGAGTTTATAATAAGAAAAATTTTAAGAGAGAAAAAAAGAAAAAGAAAAAGTCAAACCACATACATATTTACTGACTTAAACATCCCCCATTGTAGACATTTGTATATTTCTGTGTAACCCCCCTCCTTAGCTGAGTTATCAGAATGATTTAAAAAATCCTCAAGTCAGTTGATAATGAATAAATATTGAGATAAGTTACTGATAATAAATATAATGATTGGTTTTCTTAGGATTCATTGAGTGGGGCAAAATGACTGCAGTGATTATCTTACTTTTATATCCTTTACCATACAAAATTTATTTAAACATGTCATGTGTTTTGGGAGCTTACAGACATATGTGATGAATGATTGGATTACATTCATTCTATTCCATTATGTTAGACAATTCATCAAAACATTGGCCTCAACAGTTCTGTATTAACATGATAAGTCTACACAAAACATCCTTCAAACAGTTTAACAAAAATCCCACAAAAGCTCCTCAACACTACATTTTTCATTAACATGCCAAACACAAATCAAAACTTATTCTTTTACAAACATACCTGCTGTTTCCTTGGCCATCAAAATGTAGAATTGTGAATCCCTTATACTTTCCTGTAGCTTACGAAGCATAAACAAAGTGTTGTAGGACCTCATTTTTAATTTCAGGTGAGAGCTACTTTTGCTTTTGAGAAAAATTCAACCATTTCTTTAATTCCAAAGAACCGCCTGCATGTAGTTTTAGTAGTACACTAAAACTTGAACTATTTTCATCCTTTTCAAGAATGGCTTTTCAATCATAAATAATATAATGATTGATAATTAATATAAATTTTTCTTAAAGGAAATAAGCAACTACCAAATAAAGAAACATTGTAAATATTTTAGATAAAGCCATACAATTATCCATCATTTTATTCATTTAATGGTGATTAAGTTGCCTAATAACAGTTGGTTCGAATGATGCTGAGGCAATCATACTAATGGATTCCCTGTTAAGCTCAGATTGCTTGTGATAGGCAACAATTTGTAAAATTTTCTTCCAATTAGAAAATCTATGTGAAATAAATGCTTCATACAAGTCTTTTTTTCTTGAATGACAAAGTAAAGGCATTTTATTATGGGTAGGTTTGATGCAGGTGGGGCAAAATACTTCATCTTTCCTGTAGCCATCTTTCTTGTAGCCAGCAAAAATTTTCTTAAAAGCTTTGTTAAAATTTTCTTCTTTTTTTTGATGGACATGTTGGATGCTTTGAACAAGAAGGTCTGCTCTAAAAAATAAAGCAACTCAATAACAGGATTTGAATCAGTTCCATCATCAGACTTTATAAAGTATAAACTGTAATGAGTATTTTTGTGGAGGTTGAACCTATTTTTAAAAACTCTGGTAGCCTATTTTAAAAAATCCTGGTAATCTGACTCATTTAACATCTTTAAGATTATTAAATCCTTCCTTTCCAATCCTAGTATAAAAGTTATCCTTGATGGACAGCACTCTTCTCTATATTCTGTAACTTTAGGGGTTCCTCAAGGTTCAACCCGTGACCCACTCTTTTTAATTTACATTAACAATTTTCTAGATATTCTTACATCTAAGGTGGCATTATTCGCTGATGATATTACCATTTAATCTTGTCATGATTAAAGTTGTCTGTCAATTGTTATCTTGCTCCACAATCTTCATCTTTTCTCTTCCATTAACTTCCAACCTTAATAGTGGTTGCTTTTAGCCTTGTTGGAAGTGAAGATGTTCAAAAAAAAAGTTATTACCATTTTTAGATTCAGACGAAGATGCAACTGTATCAATTTGCTTTTCTTTCCTTGAAACGTATTCGCTAATCTTCTTCTTTTACAATGTACAACTTATTACTTTGAAGTCAATGTACTATTGAACAATTCAATTTATTTCTTTAAAAAACTGTGTTTTTTTAATTAGAACAAAAAAGAGTTAAATATAAATAAATAATCTGCAGATGTGCCAAAGTTATCACTTCTGAAAACCAGAAAAGAAAAATCAAACTACACCAACGCTTAAATTACAAAAATATCAGCTCTATAGATTTAGTATGTGTTTTTTTGCGTTTTGTTACTGGTATTAAACTCCCATAAAACTCATCAGAAGCATAGAATTTCTTAAATTTCACAAAATGACTTTTAAATTAGCTTGAACTTTGAAAGCATTTGCCAAAATATAATTTTTTTTTTTAATTATTCTTTTAAAAGCATTTGCGGAAATATTGTTTTTTGATTATTCTTTTTGTTCAAGTAACATGTGATGCAAAAGTTATCAGACAAAATAAAAACATCAATAACTTATTTATAAATAAAATAAAAAAACTTTTTTTTTTTTTTTAAAATAAAGTATTTATGTTTTAATAAAAATAAATTATTTTTTAAATGAAAAAACACTACCATCTGCAATTGATCACAATTTTACTCTGACGCCTTTCATAAGCGGCTGAAAAATTTAAATCCATTTCTTGTAGTTTTAATTTAATTCGATCCATCAAAACTTGCTCTGTTGAAGCTTGCCAATCTCCCTCGTAAATCTTCTATACCAAATATCCCCAAAAGTTTTCAATTAGTCATGCTTAAGGCTCATTTTGGAGATTAGATTCTTTATCAACATAACGAATGAAAGAAGTCATTTTTCTAAACATTCATCAATAAAAATTGATGAAGTAATTGCTTTAGCCTTGGAAGTGCATAAAAAGGACTCGGACATACCGTGGTCAGATATGGCACAGATATCCAAATTAATAATTTCTTTGGAAATTTCTCTTTTCTTATAAAACAAGCACTTTCTGGGCATGTTTTGTTGTTGTTTGTGTAATATCCAGAATTTCCAGGCATGAAGTCCCCTACAAAACAAAAGTATTTTTTGTCATCGATGACCAGAAGTGATTTTGTGTTATAGAGTTGGTTAACTAGTTTCCTGCTTCTTTTCTTTGCTTTTAATTGTTGTTCTATAGTGCATTTTGGAGTTTTTTCACATTTTCCATATTTATTATTCTTTTTTTTTTAATTGACCAACTATTGATTAATTTACACAGAATTTAAAACTTATTTTTTTCTGACTGATCCCTTTTAAACTATTGACATTAATTTGGCTTTTTTTCTCTAGTCTATGATGTTAGACAACCAGGGTGTTTTCTATCAAAAAAGGATTGAACAGTTTAAGTCTTTTTACGTTATTGTATATTGTACTTTGAGCAAATCCTTCCTTTTCAAAATGATTTAAGAACGCTTTTTTTTATATATATTGCTTATTTACATAAAACATTTTGAGTCGCTTTTAAAATGATTCTCATTCACCTGCATTTAACCACATTTTAAATAATAAAGTTTATATTTTATAGAACATTTACCTCTACACATAAAACCACAAAAACAAACTATTATGCTCAATTAATTAAATTCAGATTTGTCTTTTAACTCCCGCATCACCTGTTACATTGTGATTTTTATTTTTTATTAATTTTTTAATGCTGGCTAAGTTTTGGCAAATGGGGCTAAGCCCCCCAAGTCCCAGCACATTCTAGGCCTATTAAAGGAATTCTTGAATCATTCAGCTATTTCTACTGAAATCTTAAAAAACTTGTTTCACTGTATAAAAAGAAATATTTTAAATTAGAAATAAAATTTTATTAAAAAGACAATGTTTTTAAAAAAAATGTTTACTAAGTTTATATGAAAAACTGATTATTTTGCTTTATAAAAATGCTGAAGAGCTACACAATAAAAAAACAGAGTTGATTTCCAAGTGTTGTCACAAAAATAAATTTCTATTGAGCAACCACAAACCTGAAGATTAAATACACGCGGTCGTAACAATAAACAAAGTTTTTTCTGTATAGGGTTTTTCTGTATAGTTTTACTTGTATATAATTTTTTAAACGAATAAACTATATTTGTATTTCACCTGATGATTGCAACAGCATGAAACTTAAAGTTGTGAAAATCACATAGTTTTATTTTCTACTATATATAAATAAATAAATAAATGTGTAAATATATATATATATATATATATATATATATATATATATATATATATATATATATATATATATATATATACATAAATGTTGTATACTGCTGGAAATATAACTCTTGTCTGTTTAAGAGTGATCAATATCTTTTTTTAAAAAAATAGATCAAATTATATTAAAATAATTTAAATGAAAAAAATACAACTTTATGATGGAACTAAAAGTTTCATGCCATTCAGCAATCATCAGCCATATTATTCAAATAAAAAATAAAAACCGTTATAAAAAATACAAATTTAGCGTTGCAACAGCATCTGACGTCAATTATACGTGATCCGATATTTGCTAATCGCCGGAATCAAAGTTAGATAGTAAAAATTTTTTCCTATGCCTACAAGCAGAAACCAATTCACTTTTTTTGTTAAGTAGTAGTCGACTATCAAAAATCATAATAAAATACTTTTCATTGATGCAAAGGTTACACTTTTTTGTAGATGGGTTAAAAGATTGGCACCTTTTAATTATGTTCCACTTAACTATAGGCATGTTATCCGCCAGATGCCGTTGCAACGCTAAATTTGTATTTTTTATAACGGTTTTTATTTTTTATTTGAATAATATGGCTGATGAATGCCGAACGGCATGAAACTTTTAGTTCCATCATAAAGTTGTATTTTTTTCATTTAAATTATTTTAATATATATATATATATATATATATATATATATATATATATATATATATATATATATATATATATATATATATATATATATATATATATATATATATATATATATATATATATATATATATATATATATATATATATATATTTATATATATATATATATATATATATACACACACTTTGGAAATTAGTTAATCAAATTGAAAATAAAATGTTTCCAAAGGAAAAAACTCATAAGAATAGATTGATACTCACTAAATGTAACAAACTCCTGAAGATGGACGAGAGCATGTAGCTTTTGTAAATTTAAATATAACATGTTTTAATGAATCAGCAAAACCAACATCTAATGTAAATGTGTAGTTTTTTGATTCAAGCAGAATATCTTTATTAATTACAAGGCTAGGAGTTAAGAAACCAGTTAATGTAGCACCTTTAGACATAACTTCTGAAGGAACATTTCCTGTATCATCTGTTATCCTCCATTCTGCTATTAGCCTGAAAGATTAACAGCATAAATGTCATGACTCACCATACAAATTAATTTTTCATTTTGTTAAATAAATTGAATAACTTACTTTTGAGAACCACAATCTTCACATACATATGAATAAATTACTGGCTCCATAAAATTAAGTTTTGAATCGCAGTTTGACATGCACCTATTAAATACATAAATGCAAAGTTATTATAACATTAACTTTTAAAATATATACTTATCTAGTAAATACTTTTCTTTTTAAATATATACTAGTTAAGATTTAATTATTTCAAAAGGAAAATATTTCAAATATTTTATAAAATATGAAGAACAAATATTTTATAAAATATGAAGAACAAATATTTTATAAAATAAACTAGAGTAAAAAAATGTATAATTAGAAAAAATAAACTCTTAAGTTTTTAAAGAACTTTGAAAAATTTCATATTTAAAATTTTTGCTGTTCTTCACATCACCTTTTAAAAACTGGTGAAAAAAACAATGTAATTTTTTTTTTTTCAATATCTTAAAATATTTATTTCTATTTTATTTTATTTGAACAAACTTTTTTGCTAGCTGAAACTTTTAGTACAGTTTTAATTATGAATGTAAATTAAAAACTTTGAAATAAATTGTACTCAGCAATACTAACCCCTAACTTTAACAGCAGATCTAAAATTGACTCCTCTAACTAAAGATCAATCTCATTCAAATTTATCCCTTGTAGAAAAATAGAGAAAATAGTTAAAGCCAAGATAATGCAATACCTAATATCAAAGAAACTTCTTCTTAAAATGCCAATATGGTTTATTAAATAAAAAATCAAGTGTCACAAATATTTTGGAAAGAATAGTCTTTTTGACCCACAGTATATGTAAACATAGTTGGACCTGCTCTGGCAGCCAATCTCCAACCTTTGTCACATCGTCGTAATGTTGCTTCTCTTTCTCTTTTCTACAAATACTATAATGGGCACTGCTCTAAAGAGCTAGCGTCCCTTGTGCCATCAACTAAAATTCATTCTCGTGTTACTCGCCATTCAATTAAGTCTCATCCTTTTTCTGTGACTGTTCCTAAGTGCTTCAAAAACTCTTATTCTTCTAGTTTTTTTCCTCGAACATCAGTTCTTTGGAATTCGCTTCCTTCATCTTGCTTTCCTGATTCATATAATTTGCAATCTTTTAAGTCATCAGTCAATCGTTATCTTGCTCTACAGATTTAGTCTTTTCTCTTCCAGTAACTTCCAACTCTTATAGTGGTTGCTTGCAGCCTTGTTGGAAGTGAAGATGTTAAAAAAAAAAAAAAAAAAAAAAAAAAAATCTCAAAATTGTATAGTTTATGCATCCTTCTTTGACTTTGTTAAAACCTCCAATAAGGTCCTTCAAAAAAGACTTTTCCCAAAAAAAAATTGTATTAATGGCAATCACTACAAAGTATCAAGAGTTACTAGAAAACAAAGAATAGAGTTAAAAAGTCAGGGAATGGTTGACAGAAGACTTGAAAAGTTTTAAGTTGTATGAGTCTGGAAAATATGAAGATGGGAAAGAGTTTCAAAGAGTTGAAGTGCATTAAAGTAAAGAATATAGAACATGCAGGGACAGATGCAGTAAAAAGATGTGACTTTGCTGAATGATCAAGTCAAGCAAGAATGAGTTTTAGTTGGTGGAGCTAGATGTAAACTAATTTTAATACTTAGTATACTGAATAAAAAATCAAATAACTGAAACATATAAACTAAGCTCAAAGAATAAATAAAAAAATAACAAATTATAGAAAAAATAGAATGTTGAAACTTACCTTGCAAAAATAGTTGGAAGGTCACCAGAAATAATTTCAAGTTGTTGGCTAAAACACCCTGTTTTATTTACATGCACTGAATCTAAGTTATTTCCTGCATACTTTGTACCACAAACTTCAATATGATAACTGATACCTTCTAAAAACTGTTGTGTGCTAAAAGTAACTTCAGAAGTAAAGGAAGAAATGCTAATCCAATTTTGATTAAAGCATGTATCACTAGAAAAATTCAAGTTCAAAGTTTTATATCTTTCCATAACTTCTTGAGCAACTGAGAAATTTGAAGCAACTTTACATTTCCAATTAAAAGTGATATTTATTATTCCTGCAATAGGATCATCTGGATCAAAACTTGACTTAGCACTTATTGTAAAGTTTTGGTAGGAAATGCCATATCTATTATTCCTTTTATATTTTATAGAAGCAAAAAATCCATTATCAATTTCCATATAAAGTGGAGAAAATGTAACATTTAAATATGCAACATAAACATTTGAAACATCTCCATAGTTATACTGTAATGATAATTTATACAAACCAATATCAAGTGAATTTTTTGCAATTGTGTAAGTAACTTTTTGTGGAGATAAAAAACCAAAAGTAACTGTAGAGGTTGAAACAGCACCTGCAAGATTCCATTCAAAACTGTAATTTTCAAGTGGACACACTTTGCTAATATTTTCAACAACAGCTGTAATATTTGCACCAACACTTCGAATGATGCTCACTGGACTGGAAATAGTTCCATAAAAAAAACTAACCTCAGGTGCTGAACAGTACCTCACTTCTACCTTAATCAAGGTGTATGAAGTCTGCAATAAGTTATGAGATGTAACATTAACAGTGTATTTCCCTTCTTTATAATACATATGTTCTACTTGAAATAAAACAGGATTCCAATTCATTGTTTGATTTTTAATCTCATAAGTACTATCTCCCCAAACAACTTTGTATAAAATAAATGATCCTGAATTTTGATTGATGTTCAAAATTAAACTTTTGCTAAGATGTAAATAAACATAACCATTTAGTGAAACATTTGGAGTTGTTATAACATTCAATCTAGACAATGGGCAAAAAACAGTCAAGTCTGTAGAATTGAAAAAAATTGCAGTGTTTAAAATTCCAAGAGAGTTTGCAAAAATGTATCTGGCACTAGCATTGATTGTAAAGTTATTGCATACAGAATATCTAAATTTAATAAAAATTATAATAAATCTTCAAATGTTAACTTACAACTACATTGTAAATATCTATTTATAAAATTCAAAAGTTTAATTAATTACAAACCAATTTTTACAATATTACAGCCCGTGTTTTAAAGTAAAATAATTTATGCATTTTAAAATGCACTAAAGTCAAAGTACATATAATTTTATTAATGTTAAAACAATTTATTAAAGAATATTAAAATTGTTTAAAAATTAGGCAAATTTTAAAGTTAAAAACATTATGTTATTGTTAATTTGTAACTGAAACTATTTCTCAACCATACCCAAGAAGCATTTTTAACATTTTTTTGGTCTTTGATTATATAAAATTAATTAATCAATTAAAATAATAAAACGTAAAATAATAAAATTTAAAAAATTATTAAAATTAATAAAATTAAAATAATAAAATAATAAAAAATTATAATAAAATTTATCAATCAAAAATTAAAAAATTAAATATTATAAATTGATTTAAAAAAAAAGACATAATGTCTCATCTCAAGTTAAAATCATTATTTATTTTTATTACTTTAATAAAAATGGTTACAATAACTTTATAAAAATTATTGTATCACTTTTATTATAGATAGTTGAACAAGGTATCAAAAACAATAAAATAAAAAACAACAAAAAAGAAATAAAGTTTATTACTAATAATTTATAAGTTTTTATGAAAAACATCTATAAACTTATATAATTCAACTAAAAGTGAAAAAAAAAATACTTATGTGCAACAGTGTAAACAAAAACAGTGTAATTAAAAGTGAAAAAAAAAAATACTTATATGCAACATGTAAACAAAAACAGTGTAATTAAAAGCGAAAAATAAAATACTTATGTGCAACAGTGAAAACAAAACCATTAACCGGAGTAGCATCAATACTTGTAATATTTATAACTGGTGATGAATCACCAAAATCAACTGTCAAATCCACATTACTTCCATTAAATATTTGTATTGTTGCATTAAATTCCCTATCTTGTAGCTGATTTTTTTCAACATACAAATATATTCTACTTACTTCTGATAATATAGAAATATCAATTGAAGTATTTATTGAGTTAAGTGTATTGGCAGCTGTCAAAAACACTGAGTAAACACCTAAATACACAATGTAAACATGTAAAAAAAATTACAATAGTGTCAAATGTTTGTAGTCAATTGGTAGTTAAACTGTAGCACCTTTTTAAAATTAATTTTTAATGATAACTTTAAATATTAAAAAAATTATTGGAAAAAATATCTTGCCTAGATTAGTGAAAGCATGACTAAATTGATTTTCATTCGATGCATTCCTAAAATAATTAATTTTAGGAATACTAAATGTATATGTAACATCTGATCCACTGTCTATTTCAGCTTTTAAAGTTACCAATGTATTAGGCTTGTACCCAGCCACAAACTTTGATACTGGCAATTGTTCAGCAAACCGCAAACCAGAAACAGGAACCTGTATTTTTTTTTATCATTTATAAGTAATTTATTGTTTTATCAAAACTAAAATGTAACACTAAGAGTTAAATGCTTATAATTTATATTTATATACTAAATATTTCTTCAAACATTTGCTTTTTTAGTCCTTTAATAATTTCACATCCTCCCTTAACTCCTCCCTTAATAATAAGTTACTAACTCTTCCCTTAATAATAAGTAACTAAATCTGTATTATTAGGGAATTAGTTACTTTAGCTTTTTGAAGATTCAATTATTTATTTAAAGACTTTAATGGTCATGTTGAGTTTTGAAGTTTTCCTTCCTTTAAGTTCAAAAGTGTTTTGTTAAAAAGTTTAACAAAATACTTTTAAACTAATAAAGTTTAAATTCATCAATAAAGTAAAAAAATCAACAAAAACACAACTAAAAATATATAAATATTAAAACATTTTTAAAAATAAAAACAAACAATTTTGTTGTATACTCCAACATTTACTAAAATAAGTAAACAAAATTTAATAAACCTGAAACTTAAATGAATAATTTAGCTGTTGAAAAGATGGAATATGATTAGAAGCATCTACTCTAAAATTAAACAAACTAGTTGTGTATGATTGCGTTGGAATAAAGTACTCAAATGAATTCGATATTAAAAGTGATATAAAGAAATCATTGTTAGTAATGCAATTAGTAGAGAACGTCATTGTTTTTCCAGCCTCTGCAACTTGTACCTTTTCATTAATAACTCCATTACAAAATAAACTAGCATTTCCACCTATCCATATCATGTCATTTTCTTGAATTTCATTATTTTTATTCTGAATTGGTATCTCAATAATTCCAGTAACGTTTAACAAGAATAAAAATTCTGAAAAAAATGTTATAGTTTTGCTAGATAAAATTTATACCTACTTTATTTAGAATATTTATTTTAAATTTGTAACAATATATTATAAAATATAGTATTTATTAATAATATAGTGTTAATAATAAATATAGTATTTATTAATAAATAATAATTTAAAAATATTTGACAGGATATTTAAACAGAATATTTTTAATAAACTTATATTTATATATAATGAAATTACACATGTAGAAAAACTTTAAAAAAAATCTAATAGCAGTAATAAGTCAATTTGATAGTGATCACATGTGATCACATGACATCACATAATTTTTTTTCTACTCCAATAAATATACGCATATTGGTTTTTTACACATTTAAGAAATTTATCAAAAGCAGAAGCAGTTTAACAACTAAGTTTATCAACAAACAGTAGCTGACTTTTTTTGCAGACAACAATAGTAAAGCTGTTTATTATATATATATATATATATATATATATATATATATATATATATATATATATATATATATATATATATATATATATATATATATATATATATAATATATATATATATATATACATATATATATATATATATATGTATATATATATATATATATATTTATATATATTTATATATATATATATATATATATATATATATATATATATATATATATATATATATATATATATATATATATATATATATATATATATATATTCATATAATTTTGTGTTAGCACAAAAGCATAGAAACAGTTTTTTAGGATATGTGAGTGATAACCAGTGAATTTTCACTGGTCCAGGAATATCAGTTGTTTTTGAATACAGATAGGTTTATGTTTGATCCATCAAACTGACAGAGACAGTTTGTTCGTGGTCTAAAGTTTTGAATGTACCAGTTTGCTCTTTAGTAATGAGATTCTGAATATAGTTGTTTAAGGTTTTGAAAATTTATTTAATAAATGAATAAATTTATCATTTTTTATTAGACTACGTTTGCACTTGTTACTTCTAATTTCACAACTTTTTTAATGTTTATCTCTTGTGCTCGTAATTTTATAAATGAATTTCTCCATGCTGCAATATATTTAGCCCACAAGATCCATTTCTTTTGAATTACATTAATTACTTCTTGCGTGGCTGATATTTCTCTTTTTGCAACAAAACGTACTGTTGTACTTGGAATATAAAGTTTGACAGGTTTTTTTGTATTTTTCAATAAACAGTAGTGGCTTTCATTAGTTTTCTCAAATATTTCAACACAGTAATATGAAGGTACGTTTTTGTAAGTGATTCATAGTCAGCTCTACTTCATGTGTAACATGGTTATTTTGTGTTTTCCTTTTTGCTATAAAGTGAAAACTTACCTGTGATTAAACTTTTCTTGTTAAACTTTTACCTGTGATTGAACTTTTTTTGTGATTAGACCTTTAAGAGTACTGAACTAGTCTTCTTTATTACTAATATGGTAATACAATATTTGACAGTTTGTTCTTGGGCTAACGTTTCCCAAAAGGTAATTTCAAAAGTAATTTACAATTAACTTTATTCAAAGACCATGGGTTGTTTGTCCAAAAACAAAAGTGATCTAAAGTGATATTTGGAGAGAAATTTGCTGGGAACAACTTAGATTAATACTTCTTAGTTTTCAATGCATGGTTTCAATGCAAGGACATTCAGCAGGATGCAGAATTTCAACCTGTATCTTTGAGATTTTTTGTTTTATTGTTTCAATAGTTTGAAAGGCCTGATGCTGGTGATTTGAATACATACCTGCGTTGCTCATTTGACTTAATGATATTGATACAACACATTTCGTTGGATGGGAAATATTTCAAAATGTTTTATCTAAAAGTAATGCTTCAGGTTTGTAGTTTGTTATAGTGATTACACTTGTTTAGTACAGCTGCATGATCTCTTTTAGGGGGATTTCATTGAAAACTATTATTTTCACGTTCATTGGTTTGTGGTAAACTAACAATTACCATGTTGATTGCTCAATTTTGAAGGCTTCTTATTTCAAGTATTTTATTTTAAACTTAAAAATATTTTTTGACTTTGCAAAAAAGTTTAGATTCCTATAAAATTTACACTCAGTTATAGCAACTACTAGGAGAAATAAAACATTTATAGAGGTAAAGAATAGGTAGGATAATGTAAGAAAATGCTGAGCAAAAAAAAGAAAGGCAAATTTAAAATCAAATTATTATAAGTAAAATAAATAAAAGATAATTCAATTAAACATATTGTACTTTTTTTGACATTATCTTTAGACATTAGACAACAAGAAGACATGTATGCATAAAGAAGATTGGAACACCATAAAGTTGCATCATTAGATAAAAAGCCACTTTAGTTGTAAAGTTATCAGAAAGATTGTCAACATAGAAAAAAGAAAAGTATGAGACCTCTAGGATGAAACCTTGTGGTACACCAGCAGTTACTGGATGTGATGAAGAATGTTTTTTATCTTGACCAATTAATAAGTAAAAATGTAGTTTTATATTTAATGAAAAAGTTACATAATATTTTATATGTTAATATACAAAAAAGTTACTTCAACTTAACTTACTTGTTACGACCAACGCTGTAATTATAGATGGATTTAGCACAACAACTTCATCTTCTAATAAATTCATTAAAAAACAATTTTTTGCACATTCCATGGTAAAGGAACAAAAAATGGTAAAATTGGTGCATATTGGTCGCAAAATCTAAAAAAAAAAAAAGCTTAGTAATAGAAAAAAACTAAAATTGCTTATTAAATATAAAAGCTATTTTAATTAATAAAGCTAAAATTGCTTATTAAATATAAAAATTGTATTGGAAGTTACTTATTGTTACAAACTCTATTTACTATAACTTTTAAGAAATGTTTATAACTGGCTAACAGAAAATTATTTTATCAACATTATATTATTTTATGAAGTTGTTATTTAAAAGATGTTTATAGTAACAAATTATTTGTACTATAAAATAATACTAAGAAATGTTAAAATGATATTGCTAAACAGAAATTTATTTTATCAAAATTATTATTTGAAACATATTTATTTATATAGTTATATAGTTGTAAGATTTAATTATAATTTTTAAACATTTTTTAAAACTCTTAAATACAAGTTGTAAACACTTGGTTACACATAAAACGTCTTACAGTTAAAAAAAGCATTTATATATATATATATATATATATATATATAATATATATATATATATATATATATATATATATATATATATATATATATAAATGTTGGTAAGATAATTAAAAATAAAGAAATAAAGTTAAAACACATAAAGACAATCTCCAAAACGATATGATAGGTTTAATCATTCAGCCATACACAATTGTAAAAAATACTGACAATTTATATATAAATATGTGTCCTATTTATTAAATACCCTTTTAACTGATATGATCATAAAACCTTCATAAAACAAAAAATAAATAAAATTTAATAGAGCATAAGCCATTGCATGATGTGTATACCACAACTCTCATGCTCTATTTAACCTGGAGTTTACATTATACTTATAATATTTTGGGTTAACTAATCTTAATACTTATATTATAACTTATAGTTAATGGTAATTTAAGAATCTTATTTTTATATTTAATAATGATCTTATGTTTTATTTATTTTATAATTTATACACTTGTACTTTATATGTTTTTTATACGTTTGGATGGTTGAAGAATAACATCATCAATACAAACTTTAAGAGCAAATTCTTTAGAAGATTCTGAATCTTTGGGAGGACTGTAATCATTGGCTGTTTTGTTTCTAATGCAATTGTGAAACCTTTGAAATCATGAGCAATAAAGATGACAGAGTATGCAATGACAGGCAACATTTTATTATTTAGAGCTTTCTTAATACGAGTGTACCTTTTAGTTGTTGCATTATGTTCCCTGATATATACATATATATACGCCTTGTGATGAGGCAGGAGCAATTGCTCCTCACACGTGATACACGCCCGTAACCGACCTTCCAAACGCAACAAATAGCGCTTGTCTGAAAAATTGTGCTTGTCTGAAAAACTTGCGAGGGAGAAAAGTTGGTTTTATAGAAAAAAATTGTAAGAAAATTTTTTTTGACAAAGTCAAGATATGTTTAAACAGTAGAATTTGAATATTGTTAAAAGAAGTTATATTTGTAATAAAGTATATCACGCATAATTTATGCATGACATTCTTTAAATTTAATTTATGCAATATAAGTTCAAATTAAAAATGATTTATTCTATTTAAAAGTTAAATACGGCATATTTTTTATTTATTTTGAAGACAGTAAATCTTTTTTTTTAACATATTTAATAGACTGCCTCCCCAAACCAAACCCTTGGTCAATGTAGCAGCACAGATAAAAATAAAAACATTCAGAATGTTTTTATTTTTAAAAATTAAAATAAAACATTCAGAATATTTTTAAAAACATTCTAGTCTTTTAATTTGCATTTTTGTTCAAATTAATGTGTTATAATATATATTAATTAATGTGTTATATATATATATATATATATATATATATATATATATATATATATATATATATATATATATATATATATATATATATATATATATATATATATATATACATATATATATACATATATATATATATATATATATATAAATATATATATATATATATATATATATATATATATATACATATATATATATACATATATATATATATATATATATATATATATATATATATATATATATATATATATATATATATATATATATATATATATATATATATATATATATATATGTATATATATGTATATATATATATATATATATATATATGTATATATATGTATATATATATATATATATATATATATATATATGTATATATATATGTATATATATATATATATATATATATATATATATATATATATATATATATATATATATATATATATATATATATATATATATATATATATATGTATATATAATTCAATTGAGCCTTAATTAGCAGTAATATATATATAAAAAAGAAAATATAGTTGTTTAATGCAAGAATAATAAAAATCAAAATTGACAAAACAAAAGTTACAAAAAATTCAAAAATGAAAAACCTACAGCAATTTCTAAGACTCCAACTGCTGAGACTTTTAACTTAACTTTTGTAAAATAACCAGATGTTAAAACAACTTGCTTTAAAATAAATCCTCTTGAAAGACTGCATGTTTGTCCAGAGGAGGTATAAATCAAAGGTATATCAAGTCCATATGTCAAATGAATAACATCTGAAAAAAATTTACTAATATTTATTAAAAATTATAAATCCAATAAAAATAATTATAAAATTCAAAAACATCAATCAACATGGTGTATAAGAAGTTCTTGTTTGCAAAAAATGTTTTAAATCTGTACATTTCCTCTCTTTTTTTGTAAAATACCTTATTAATGAATTATTATTTAAAAGAATTTTTTTTTGGCATGTTGAAATGAAGAAAGGAATAGAAGTAGAATCAATCTAAAAAACATTTATGGATGATAAAATGGTTAATTTATAAGCTAAAATAATGTTTTTAATACCTGCATTAAAAAATAAAGTTTTATTTTTTGGAAGTGAAAGAGTTACATTCATGTTTGTTCCTTGTGTAATAACTAACAAGAAGTTATAAAAACCATCAATTGAAACCATGGATGGAATGACAAAAATGCCACCAACTTTTTCATCAACTTGAAGCCATGTTGTAGTAACAAAAGGGTTTGTAAAATTATTTCCTACTTCTTGTGACCACTGCTGCAAACCAGGTAAATAAAAATGCTTTTTCATTGTCATCTGATTGACTGTTTGAACATCTGATAAAAATTTATTTGGTACTGGTCTCACAAATGCACTTGACGCATCACCTAAATTTATTTACATTCAATTTAAAATTTAAAAGTTTAAATATATAAACTAATTACTAATCTTAAACAAAGCTTAATAAAGCTTTCATAAAAGATATTTTAATATCATCATATAAACTTGGGGCTATATTTGCATTTCTCTGTTAAGCTTAACAAAGCTTTATTCTAAAATTTCCTTTCAATACTTTTAAGTGAACAAAACATTAAAAACTTTATTTAAATATATTTAAAGAAAACTGATGCCTAAATTAAATGAGTACTACTCATTTAATTTAGGCATCAGTTTTCTTTAAATATATTTAAATAAAGTTTTTAATGTTTTGTTCACCTAAAAGTATTGAAAGTTTACACTCACTTTAAATACATTTTAATGAATATTTATAATACAAATATTTTATTTTAATGAAATAGAAGACAATACTTGTGCATTAAGTATAAAACCAGTATAAAACATACATTAATGTTAACAAAAAAATCAATCTTGATCAAATAGGCAATAGCAGTGCCCTTAAAAAATATTGCGTTATCAGAAGATTTAGCAGCATGAGCTATGAAGTATGAGTAAATAAGTATCTATATTTTGCAGACAACATCGAGCAGTTAAAGACTAAATGAGATTTACTCTGAACTGATTTAACTATTTGCTTCAAAAAAAGAAGATCAACTTGAACTTTTTCAATAATTTAAATAACTATAAGTCAACAAGCTTTCATGAATATATTGATCACATCTTGAAATCACACCTTTTCTCCTTCAATTCCATAGCGTTGCGTTCTACAGCAAAACCTATTGTCATTGATTTTAACAGTAGAATCTTCTGCTTTCTTGTGAAATAAAATTTCAAAAATTGCTTCCCATTGATGATGCTGCATAAAACATCTTGTTTAATTATTAAACTCATTAAACTTTAATACAAATTTTTAAAGAGATGGAATCATTGAGGTCTCTGTCTGATATCTCACTAAGATATCTGCAACAAACTAGCAATGTAACCATAAAAAATTCAATTTAGTGAAAGTTAATTTACCTTTAGTTCAGTGACAGTTACATAATCAGCTCTTCTGGCAGGAGAAACACGGAAATAGATGCAAAGGTTGCTTTTATTAACTTCCTTGATTGAAAACCAGTTTTAAAAGTGCCATGGATTACATGAAGGTTGCAACTCTTAATTTTAATAAGTTTAGGTAGCTATAGTTGCTTAGGCTACTTTTTAATAAGATCAAGAAAACCAGTTTATTTTAGGCCATCTGTACACAGTTTTTGTTAGATTTATACAATTAATTATAGCCAAAGATTTGGTCATACTTTCAAGTAATTTTTTTTGGGGGGAAGGGGGGAGGTGAAGGGTGGTAGACCAAAAATTAAGAGTCAAAGTATTTGTATTTAACACGATGATTGTTCCAAAAATTGAATACTTAAATCCATTTGACAATTTTGAAAAGAGTCATCCAGGTTTTCATCAAATGAAAAGATATAAATAGAAGATTTCCTGATATTTTTTTTAAGTATGTGTAAACAATGCCCAAGACTTAAATTAATAACCAAGTTTTTTTTTACCCAACTCATAAGATTTAACAGTTGTGTTATCAGAAAACATTTTTTAATATAGTAGACCATTTTCATTACACAAGTTCAATGAGAAATTGTTTCGTACTGCATGCAAGAGATACCTGCACAAGTTTTATCCGATTGATTTACTATAAGAACTCCTTGGTTTTTAGATGTAGACTGTACAGGTGTTTTCTCCTCAATGTGACTTGTCACAGCTCTCCAACCTATATTTAATGAGTTTAGTTGAACTTGACATTTTTTGAATTGAACTTGGCATGTTTTGCATTTGACAGACATTTTATCTGTGCCGTTTACCAGCTATTTTTTAAACAATGGATCACTCAAACATTTTTTCATTGAAATAAACTGTCATTTAAAAAATTTAAATTTTTATTTATTCTAAATGAGAATGAAAATATGGTTTAAAAAAACTTTGAAATTCTTCAGGTGTTGCAGCTATTTCTACACTAAAAACCCCTTAATAAATTCATTTAAATTATTAATAATGGTTCCACTCAAACGAAGATAAAATGTTTCGCATAATCTTATTATTTGGTTTATACTGTAAATAAATGACCAGAATAAAAGTTAATTTGTTTTATAATGATCAAGTATAATTATTTAATTAGTTAACTAAAAAACAAATATTATTTACCATAAAACATTTAAAACAATAAAATGAAATAGTACACAAATTAAAAAGACTAATTTTCTCTGACTTTTAACTAAATTAATCTTTTTTTCCTAATTTCCCTGATTTTCCCTTACCATATCTAAATTTCCCTGACTTTCCCTGAATTCCCTGATTTCCCTGACATGGTGGCAATCCTGAATGATAAAATAAGTTCTGCTAATTAAGTAAAACACTGTTACTAAAATTTTACTACTCATGTAATGTGACCAAATTTATAAAGTTAATAAAACTAGTAATATTATTACCAAGAAAAGTAATAATTTTTTGTAGTTAAAACCCTCTTTTAATTCTCAAAATCTAAAACACAAACAAAGACTGCTAAGCAAAGGAACAATTTGAGCACTGTACTCTTCTTGCTTGTGAAGCAAGTGCTCTACCACCGCACCACTACTGCATTATTTGTTAACTTTTGGTTTTATATATAAGTTTTTAGATAAAGTTTGTTAACTTTTGGTTTTATATATAGGTTTTTTAGATAAATTTTGTTAACTTTTGGTTTTATATATAGGTTTTCTAGATAAAATTTGTTAACTTTTAGTTTAATATATAAATTTTTTAGATAAAAAATCTAAACATTGTAGTGGTATAGTAGTAGAACATTGACACAGTAGACAAAAAGCTCCAGGTTTGATACCCTTTATGTTCCTGGTAGTACTATGTTCAACTTGTTTTTCTGCGTAACGGCCTTGTTTGTCAAGGCTAGGCTTCAGAGTTAAATGATTACAAAAAGGTTGAAACAACAATATGAAAAAAAATTGTTAAAAAAAAATTTCCCAGTTGCCTAAGGGAAATAAATACAGCAAAAAAAAAAAAGTAAAGAAAAAATTTGAAAAAACAGTTTAAGCGATGACATTATGTGATTGAGAAACATTAGATATATATATATGTATATATATATATATATATATATATATATATATATATATACATATATATATATATATATATATATATATATATATATATATATATATATATATATATATATATATATATATATATATATATATATATATATATATATATATAAATATATATATATATATATATATATACATATATATATATATATATATATATATATATATATATATATATATATATATATATATATATATATATATATATATATATATATATATATATATATATATATATATATATATATATATATATATATATATATATATATAGATTTGCAAAGTTAAATCCAAATAAAAATAATGTTGCCGTAATTCAGTCTTTGTTGGAGTTGCATGAATTTTCTTTTTTTAATCTTTTCCTTTTCAGGAGTGTAAGGGTATATCATTGACTTGAGTTATTCTAGTAGTTGCAGTAGGAATGCTTTATTGGAAGATGAGAGTGGTAAATCATTTTGTAATGGTATACCTACTACCCCTAGACTTTTACTTGGTTCTCCCATTAGGGTTCTATTTCTGAAATATCTGGGCATGAAATTTTTTTGCGGCTTGTGGTTCAGACAGTGAATTATTGAAAATACTAGTAATTTTTTCTAATATCACATTTTCATTTCTTTTATTAATATATGTTTTCGTTGCATATTTTCGAGGCATCTAAAAGATAAGAGAAATAAATTATTGTGGTATTTTCTAGCACCGGTTGATGTTTTCCAGCTTGGTAGATCAAATGTACCCCATGCGTGTTATATATAAACAAACACTGTTAAAAGCCGAAATTAATTTTTTAAAGTAAACCAAACACAAAGGTTTTTAACTCAAGATCTCAAAATATCATTAAACAATAAACAACAAAAAAGTTTATGAGGTTAAAATTGTAAAAGAGATTCTCTGCGGGTTATTTATTATAGAAAAATTAACTCTTGCATAAATAATTAGATTTTCTTCTACATAAGTTCTATTTTAATAAAGATGGATCAATACTTATTTCCCGCAATAGCTTATTATGTGTGTGTGTGTGTTTAAATATATATATATATATATATATATATATATATATATATATATATATATATATATATATATATATATATATATATATATATATATATATATATATATATATATACATATATATATATATATATATATATATATATATATATATATATATATATATATATATATATATATATATATATATATATATATATATATATATATATATACATATTCTATATATATATATATATATATATATATATATATATATATATATATATATATATATATATATATATATATATATATATATATATATATATATATATATACATATTCTATATATATATATATATATATATATATATTATATATATATATATATATATATATATATATATATAAACGAATTCTAACTATATTTTAACGTATAACAAGAAAATGACTTTCAAAGATTATATTACTACTTTTTATGGCAAAAAGATTTACGATGATACAAAAAAAGTTACAAGATTTAATGATACAAACTCAAAAAATCAACTTGTTTTCCCTTAAAAGTGCTTATCCAATAGCATAATTCCAAAATCGTTTAAAATAAAAACTCCAATCCATACTAAAAAAGCAAAAAACATAATGAAGGAATACAGTAAAAAACTACTAATTTATGCTCGTAACAAAGCCAAACACAGATTATATTCAAGTAAGAAATTAATATATGAATTAAATATATTTCTTCAGACAAAAGTAAGATTACATGATTATGAGTTAATTAATAGTATAACCAACAAATCAAAAAATTACCATTATATTAAGAAAAAAACGAAAATTAAAAAAAAATATCATAAATTACAAATTACACCCATTATAAAAAATTTTATAAACTTTTGATCCTCCCAATCAAGTTATTAGACCTGCTATACTCAATTTAACTAATATTACTCTGGATAATTCAACAACTAAGCTACTCAATTTAGGTCCAAATTTTGTACCACTGCAGATAAAAATTCCTTATATGGATATTATAACTAATATTGAAACTTGCGCTTTACAATTTGAAAAACTTAAAAAACCAACACTGTGGCAGAAACTCTACCACAAAACTGCTTACAAATTTTAACAAACTTGCTAAAATAAGGATTAAAAGATAATTTAACTAAGCAACAACATCTTTCCATAAACAAATTAAAAACTAATTCTAATATGAAGATATACCCTTTCGACAAAGGCACAGGTTTTGCATTATTAAACCAAAAAGATACATCTCTCAAATTAGAAGAACAAATAAAAAATAGCAAAATTATTGACTATGATCTAACATCCACATTGACTACTAAATTTCAAAGACAATTGTGCAAATTAAGAAAAGAAGGTAAGCTAGACACAAATATATACTTTAAAATGTATCCATCAGATTGTAACCCACCAAGGATTTACAGAATGATTAAAGCTGAAAAATGATTAAATGAAAAACCAGAAAATGATTATCCAATGCGCCCTGTTGTATCAACAAATAACACACCACCTTATGGAACATCCAATTATCTTGTTAAAATTATTCAACCAACTCTCAACAAAAATAAAAGTAGACTTATGAATTCTAATAGTTTTGTAAATGAAGCTAAACAATGGATAATAGATCCTAACAAAGTTCAAGTTTCATTTGATACAGTCGATATATATCCATCCATACCTGCTGACGAAGCAATTCCGGTTATTATTGATGTATTGAATGCTGACATTGATGACTTAAAAACTCGAACTAAACCTACTCTTGCAGACATGCGCCAATTAATTGAATTTTCATTAAGTATATGCTATTTTTTATATGAAAACAATATCTGAATAATACCTAATTCAGGTCCTATAGGTTTATCTTTAATGGTTGTTATGGCGGAAGCTTTTTTTACAAAACATAGATAGAAAAGCCCTTAACATAGCAATTATTCATACATCCGAACCAAAAACTTACAAGAGATATGTAGATGAAACATGCTAAACATCCTTAATGAACAACATCCTGCCATAAAATACACAGTGGAACCTGAAAACGACCTCAAACAACTCAATTTCCTAGATATTAATATTACAAACACAGACTCTGGAACTTATGAATTTCAAATACATAGAAAAGAGGCTTTTACAAATTTTCTTTTTTCAACTTAAACCTAACTTGAACATTAATCCTAACATTATTATTGGCGTTTTCAAAAGATTTTTATGTTGTGCAAAAAGAATATGCTCTCAAAAACACCTTCAAAAAGAAATTGATTTTCTAATAGAAATCTTTGTTAAAAATGGCCACGCCAAGAATATTCTAAATAGTATTACTGTAGACTATTTGAAAAACGGTTCAAAAAACATCACATTTCAACCATTAGATACCCAACCCTTTATAAAACTACCTTGGATACCAATTGTTGGTCCAAAATTTCGTAAAAAATTTTGTATGTATGTATGTATGTATGTATGTATGTATGCATGTATGTATGTATGTATGTATGTATGTATGTATGTATGTATGTATGTATGTATGTATGTATGTATGTATGTATGTATGTATGTATGTATGTATGTATGTATGTATGTATGTATGTATGTATGTATGTATGTATACATGTATGTATGTATGTATGTATTATATTTACAAGTTGTTTAATACTTATTTTACTAACTTGAAAACAAAATTAACAATATTTAAAACTTAAAAGTTTTAGATATTGTTAAAAAAACAAAATAACTAAAGTGTTTGAAAAAATAAACAATCAAAATTATTAAATAATAAATCAATATTTACCTTTTAAGATATTTGTTTTTATTTGAACTTCATTATCCACAAGTAAAATGGGAGGATAAAAAGTTATGTTCCACTCAACAATACCTAATGTAAGTGGTAAAACTTCATAGTTGCTTAAAAAGCAATTAGCAGCAGTGTCACTCAAACATGTGTTTCTTATACAAAGGCTATTAAAGTTAGATATGTTTAATGGTGGAAGTGAACCATTTCTGCAGAAACAGAGTTGACCTTCAAGAAAAAAAGCATAAATGAAAACTGGAGGATTATAAGAATTGCAAACACTGACACATGAGATATTTGACTCAACATGGTAACCACTTGCTGTTAATTGGAAATCTGTAGAACTGTCATTTGTACAACCTGAGAGAACTAAAAAGAAAATTAAAATGTTCAAAAAAATCACAAGTAACAAACACAATTCATTACTTATGATGGTGATAATGATGATGATCATGATGATGGTGATAATGATGATGATGATGATGATGATGATGATGATGATGATGATGATGATGATGATAATGATGATGATGATGATGATGATGATGATGATGATGATGATGATGATGATGATGATGGTGATGATGATGATGATGATGAAGATAATGATGATGATGATGATGATGATCATCATCATCATCATCATCATCATCATCATCATCATATGGATGTGCGGTAATGCAACTAAAATGTTCTGTATCGCAACGCGCTTGTTTGGTAAAGCATCTCTTGTTCGTTATTGCAACTTTTTTGTTTGCAATTGCAACTCCGTGTTCGGTTTTGCAACTTGAATAATTTTGTTTTTTTTATTAAGTGGTTACGTCGTCAGCAGGCTCAAAAAATTTTTGTTCGAAGTTAGTAGGGCAGACAAAAATTTGTTTGGTGAGTGAATTAAAATATATTGGTATTAAAACAAAATTGTAGTAAATTTATTAAAATCTAATATATTTCAGTAGTCTATAAAATTACACATGTGTTTAAAGTTTTGAAAAATTAAGTAAAATTCTTTTACCTAATTTTTACAAAATTAAGACGAAAAAAGCACTTAACTTAAAAGTGTATATATTTTTTTAAGCACAATCAATTTCGAAGTTTATCCAACTTTACAAACCAATTTGTGATATACCTAAAGGGTATCAGCTGGTTTGAATCAAAGTGATTTATATCGATTTCTAATCAATAGTTGAGTAACATTTTATTTAAACCGCTGTGATTCTAGATAGCTAGCTATCTAGAATCAGATAGCTAGCTACCTATCTAGCTATCTAGAATCTGATAGCTAGTTATCTAGAATCAGATAGCTAGTTATCTAGAATCATATTGCTAGCTATCTAGAATCAGATAGCTAGCTATCTAGAATCAGATAGCTAGCTTTCTAAAATCAGATAGCTAGCTATATAGATTCATTTAAAATCACCAATTAGATTTTAGCTAGCTACAGCACTTAGATTCTAGCTAGCTAGAATCTAAGTGCTGTAAGTCAACTTCTACTTAAAATTTCACCTAAAGCATTATAAATTTAACCAGCTATAATAATATTATTAATAATATTGTTGTTTAATAAGATGGCTGTTTTAAAGAACTCTATTGACAAAGTTTAGATGCGGAACTTATTATTAATTTACCAGTAATTTTTAAATAAAAATTTAGTTATTTTCTTTTTTTTATTTACTAATATAGTGTTAAAATTATAGATGATATATTTTTAAACAGTAATAATATAATTTCAAAGCTTAAGTTATATTTACAACAGCTATGATAATATTGCATCTGTTGTTATCTTCTTAAATATAAAGAATTAAAAAAAAAAATTTTTCTCTTGTATAATTATGTGTATTATTTATGTGTATTCTCTTTTATTATTATGTTTATTTAAGTATATAGTTGCAAGAGTAGCTTTCGAAACCTGATGAAAAAGATAAATGTTGTTATTCTTGTAATATATTTCATATCTTTTTCAAAGTTGTTTGCATAAGTGTTTAAACATTCAGTTAGGGATTGTCTATATATTTTGCAATGCAAAGTTTGTTTTAAAAAAATAAGTAGATGATATTAAATTCTTTTACATGACAGTTTTCATTTTTCATTTAACTTAAGGCTCTGCAAGAAAAAACCTTTGATCTCTGATGTTTTGTTTATTAGTTAAATTTAGCGTTGCATAATTTATGGACAATCCCTAATCAAATCCACTCTTAAACCAAAGAAATTCACTAATACTTTAATTTTTACTTTTTCTATTTTTTAATTCTAGAAATTCATGGAAAACACAATTACTTTACCAAGCTTTTAAATTATAAATTAGTTTTTAGACTTGTCCTAAAAGTTAGTTAAAATTACAATAATTACAGCAACTATAATTTCATTGTAGTGAAAATTTTGTTATCGCACAATCAAACAAAATGTAGAATGCAGAATTTTAAAAAAAGACTTGAAATAAATAAACAATTGAGTTTTTTATCTTCCCTCTTCCTGGGAAAATAAAAAACTAAATTGTGCTCTTTAAAGTACTTTCAAATATTCTGTGATTGTTATAAAGTTCAGATTTTTAAAGTTGTTTATAAATTTATTTTTTGTTTTTAAAGGAAAAAGATGAATGTTTATAAGCTACTGGATCATTCTTTTGAAATACCTCGCTCTATTGATGTCAGCATCTGAATCCTTACAACAGCATACTTTTCAATAATATATAACTCAATATTACATCATGTGCAAAAATGTGCATTTAAATACAACTAAAACGTGTCATTTCTCAGAAAAATTTAAAAGTCTTTATTTAAATTTTTCTAAAAAAGGCATGTACTTTTTTATTGGTTTGAGTCAGACATTTAAGATTTGTTATCAAAACAACATTTAAAGTTTAAAAATCAATCATCTTCAACAATCGCATCAAACTAATTTAATGGTTTTAAAAACTATATCAATTTGATTCTGTATAATTGTACAAAGATATCATAAGGTTTTTTTATAGTTTATTTTGCTCTTATTGCATTTATATTTTTATGGAAATAATATTCATAATTTTTATGTATATATTATTCATAATTTATATGTATATATTGTTCATATTTTATATCTATATATCATGGATGCAGAATCCCAAAAAAAGACTCTGGATTTGAAAGTCACAAAAAGTTTTTAGTTTTTGATATTCAGCAGCTTTAAAAATATAAAAAGGCTACTAATAGGGAAAAAATTAAAACTAAATACATCAGTAGAACAATCAATTTTTAAACCTGGAATCCTTAGGTATAAAGGTGGCATAGACTCCAGGACATTGCGCTTCAAAACAATAAGTCCTTTTGAAGGACTTATTGTTTAATAGTAGCCCTTTTGGGACTACGCATCCCTGGTATATAAATATATATATATATATATATTTATATATATATATATAAATATATATATATATATATATATATATATATATATATATATATATATATATATATATATATATATATATATATATATATATATATATATATATATATATATATATATATATATATATATATATATATATATATATATATATATATAATATATATATATATAGATTATGTTTGCATATTCTACAAATAGAGTGCTCAATGTTCTTAAAGAACAGAGCAATAATAATTTAGTGAAAACACTTATTTAACTTTTGCGCTCTTCAACAGCATGTTTCACCATCAGTAGCTTCATCAGGAATCTAAACATCAAAAAATTCAAATTAAAGAAAAAATTATTTCACAGGAATAACTAAAGTTATTACATAATTAATTATAACAATTCCCAACTTCCTGTGAAATAATTTTTTCTATAATTTGAATTTTTTGATGTTTAGACATTCTTCCTGATGAATGTACATATATATATGTATATATATATATGTAAATATATATATATATATATACATATATATATATATATATATATATATATAATATATATATATATATATATATATATATATATATATATATATATATAATATATATATATATATATATATATATATATATGTAAATATATATATGTAAATATATATATATATACATATATATATATATATATATATATATATATATATTATATATATATAATATATATATATATTTATAT